CTTCGCCTTCTCACGGCACACCACGCTTCTGGTTCTTAAGAATTCCTACCCAAGCACCGAGTTTTGACGATCGCTTAATGCATATCATTATAAGTGATGATCATATACTGCAATGACAATAAACATCTAGCAACTAATACAAACAAAGTTGTCTCGATATTTATTTTATTTTCGAATACCCAACTATGTCTTATCTGTGTTCCTGAACAAATAAGTAAACAGTTTTTAGTTCACACTTGGCAGTATTTGGACTTCGCTAATCCAATATTCTCGGATTATTATTGTTTAAATTTAAGTAAAAGTGGAAGTATGTGATAAATAGAACATTTCATGTGTCTACGCCCCTTGTGAAAATATTACGTTTTTCACTCGATGACAGATACATCACATTTCATTAGATACATGAAAAATTCTCTATTCATCATACTGCAGGTAACAGACCCTTGAAGATCCGGGTTAGAATTGATCTTCAGCAATCCTTGCTTGTCGTAGGAGGTGACTAACGGCATCGGGTGCATATCAATGGCGATGATCGATCCTGACGATGTAAATCACTGGATTGTCTGGTCTTGATTCGATTATTTACAGACCGCCGTCATATTGCTGGAGTATTGCTGAGTATGGCGAAGATACAAATAAACAAATACTCGACAGTATAAGAATATATTATGCATGTTTAGTAGCATAAGGATCTTTGTATAAATGTAGCTAGTGTTTGAGCGTCCATCTCAGTTAAAACAAAATTGTACAGTTGTTTCACACTGTACGTCGACGTCAATGCCCTGGCATCGGTCTTGACGGAGGATACAGATGGGCAGACACTGAGGGCACGGTTTATAATTTGATTGGCTGAAAACGTCGCTAAATGGTGTTTCTGTGAACGTTGAATCAATGGGCAACATCACGCGGCAAGGTACAGAAACGTAAGTATTGCTCTCATCTGTCCTTTTCATGCCGAACTTCCAGAATGATGAACAGATTTCTTTTTCTGACTAGAATACTTCTAAGACTGCACTGAGTGGAAATGTTAAGCATCTTATCGTCTAGGATCAGCCCCTTTAAAGTGAACATTGCTGGCCATTTTTCTCAAATAAGTTCAAAATTGCCTGGTTACGTTTCTTCCACCATTTTAACACTCTTTCTCTGGTTCATATCACAGTATGTGAAATAGCCCGCTAGCCCGAGGACAGTAAATCTCCAGTCACTCGCCCGACTGGCTTGTGAGTTTCATGGGGTCATTTTGTAACTATCACTCTCTCCGACTTGTTAAGTTATAATACACGTTTAAATCATGCAAGATTATGGCTTGAGAAAAATGTTCATCATATTATCAGCTTAATGATCAAACCTTTGGCTACATTCAAATTTCGGGCTAGTCAATTATTTTGTGGGCTAGTAACTTTCAGGCAAAGTTAGCCCGATTGGCTAGCAAAACTTGGAAACTAATTAGCACTCTCACTGTATATCCAAAAAATCATTCTCAAGATTGCAAATGAAAAAATTGCATGTGAAATAACTTTTGCCTCTAGGTATATCCTAATGCTTTTGAAGACTTTCTGAATAAAATATGATTAAATCAAATCTGAATTTATCAGCTCAGAATACACCTCGGTTACAATGGTCACGTTTGACACTACTTCAACAAGACATGTAAATTCAACGTGGATACTCACCGCCTTAACGTTGATGCTGAATGACAACGTTTCTATCGGCATCGATGGCAGTTCGACGTGTTTATTGGCCGACGGCCGGTCGCTTCACGTGACTTCGGACGGATGCAAAAGCAACTCTGATTGGCCGAGATATTAAATGCGCATCGATTGGGAGAGAGTGTTTATGTCTCAGATGTTTTGAACTTAGGTTACCTAAACTATGGATACTGTGAGCGGCCATCCCTATATCATAAGGAGATATCCACGCGATGTGGTGATGTGCTGGTATTTGATAGATAGTTAGATAATGCTTTATTATCCCGAAGGAAATTTGCTTTACATGGTTAACATTGAAACACATACAATACAACGAAAGATTTACATACGTATACATAAGACCACAAAACACCAATACATATGTCAAAGATGCTTGCTGGGATGAAAGAATTTCGAGCCCTGTTTGTTCTGAATGCAATATTGCGATAACAATGTTGCAAACGAGCGTTATTGCATATTTCCACTTCTTATTACATCTGTGCATACTCTGGGTGAATCCGAGTTAAGCAAAGCGGATGCACTAGAACCTAAATGTTGTGCTTTATGTTCAGTTTTATGTTCAGGTTGGGTGATGGCATATGAATTACACCGTAGAAGTAAAACGTCTCCATGCACACGCTGACGTCGACGTTATGTCGTACATGTGTGTTGTACAAGGTCGTTCAGATCACCTGACATATAGTATTCACTCTTTGCTAAGAATCAAATCATCGATTCAGCAGAAAACTATGATGTGGGGTCAAATTTGGTTTAAATAGCTAAGCCTATTGTAAGCATGGATGCATGTTTAGAGCAGGTCACTGCATCTTGTGGATCCCATACCTGCTATTGACAGGTGTTGTGTACTAGTCAATGACCCGTGCCATGATCTGCAAACACATGTATCAGGTGCATACGGTTAGCTTAGAATGGTTGTTTTCCTAAAGATGTATTACCATATCATTATTTATCCAGTTTTAAATGAATATTATTTTAAATTATAAATCTACGTTTAAGTAAAGTTGCTTTTTTGTGATCTTTAGCAAACTGTGAGTAGTATATATCACATATTCCACATTGAAATTTGTATATTATGGTCAGATATCAGTTACAGATACAGCTGGCCTGTCAGCTGATGCGTTATCACGGTATGCTCTTTGATTCTACAATCTGAAGCTCCGTCCATTTAATGCAGCAATTTTCTCTTAAACCACTCCGCCACTGCACTTTTCACAAAGCAGCGTAACCTTTTGAATGGTCACAAAGCTCACTGTTTTCAACTCTCGAGGAAAATTTAAACTATACTGATTGACGTCAGCAAATATTTGGATGTGTCAACCAAGTCAGTTGGCCTGACCACTCATTCATGTTGTAGCCTCTTACGACATGTGTGAGCTGCTGAAGACCTTGGTCCAGGTGTATAGTTTTCCCGAGACTTTGGATGTCCCTAATTTCATATGTGTGAGTGAGTGAGCTTCGTTTTACGCGCACTAAACAATATTCCAGTTATATGGCAGCGGTATTTAAATAATCGAGTCTGGACCAGACAATCCAGTGATCAACAGTATGAGCATCGATCTGGGAACCGATGACATGTGTCAACCAAGTCAGTGAGCCTGAGCCCCCGATCCCGTTAGTCGCCTCTTACGACGAGTATGGATTACTGAGGTTCATTCTAACCCGGATCTGCACGGGTCCGTAATATGTGTAATATAGTTGTTAAACGTTAGTGACAATTCAGATTTGGGGTCCAAGAGATAGAATATGTATATTTACCTCTTACAGTTATAATTCTTCATAACAATTGCATGATATCTGGTGTCTCTTTCAATAATTGTTAGTTTAACGATGTTCTACTGTTTTCACATCCCGCAACAATCCCAGCAGCCAAGATGAAGTGCGAACAATGTCCTGGTACTGTTTACACATGAACTGATGCATTGTAAAACACGTTTGTAACGTTGAAAAGATCATCTTCATGAGTTCAATAAATGATGAAACTCAGTGAAAATTGACGAATTCGTAGCAAAACTTTACACCACATCGCAGCTGTTCACATGCATGATATTTGCTTTACAGCAATTGGGTGGATGATCCTCGTCATAAGGTTTTCAGTTGGTTCCCCCAAGTTAGCGGAGAAAATCATCTTCGATGTAACCATACATATGTACATAACATATAGTGTGTGCTTAAAGTGAGTCGAAACTTTTGATGGGTAGTATACTTTATCTGTGAAGTAAACCTTAATTTTCACCAGATCTAGAGAGTACTAAAGCCACTATTCTTGTGAAATTTCGCAAAAACTCCAGTAGATGTGCATCAGCCAAGAAAGTGTTCATACAAGATTTCGTTAACTTTTGAAGATTCAACCAATAAGAGATGACTTTTTCAGCCTCTCCTCCTGAGATGATTTTCGATCTGAGTTAGAACAGAAGCCAGGTACGCGATGGTTCGTGATGTTGAAGTAGGTCAAATGTAATGTGTTCTGGGACTGTCAACCCCTGAATTAATGAACTGGGTGGCCGCACACGGTAGTGATCAGCTACTTCCATAAACCTGATACTTTTACTTCAAATCTGATACTTTTACTTCAAACCTGATACTGAGATCACACCCCCACCCCTACCTCCACCCGTTCCCGTTCACTTTCCCACAAGAATATTAAAAGGCCTGGTCCTTGCTGTATTGGATGTTAAAACATTTGTTAAATCATTTTTTTCTCATAGCTCAGCTTAACAACCATTGAGACCCAGGATAGTGATACACACCAAGGGATCCTTTCACGAAGCAACCTTTACTAAGGTTAACCTTAACTCCCATTCTTTAACATTGCACTAAGGTTACCTTAATGACTTACAATCACCTTAGTGCGTTGTGAAAAGAGGGCCAGGTTATTTAAACTCGCGAATGCGAGACTAGGGCTCACTATACAACATCATAAAAAGAGATTCGAACCGGCCTTGTTGTTAAAAGATAGTGTATGAAATACATTTACATATACGTCTCCGATGTCACATTATTACAAAGCCGAACACTTTCATTCCCTCAGTGCAGTCATTTCCTTCACACAATAGGTGTAATTCACCCGGCCTCTTTCCCTGAAAGAAATGTTAAACATGTGAGACTCATGTTACACGACAAATACAAACCAGGGGTATACAGGACGTCCGCGACAATAGTTCATTTTCCCTGACCTAAATGGTGAGGATTTGTCAGGAGATAACTTCTCGTGGATGGGACTGCTCATAATTTATGGCTGGGTAGGGGATGGGGTGGAGTGGTGGTGAGGTTTGATTTTCAGGAGGTCAGGAGGTGTATGTGTGTTTTGTACTCTTGTACTAATGGGGTCAGCTATTGTGTACATCAAGTTATATCATCACCACCACCCTCTCTCTCTCTCTCTCTCTCTCTCTCTCTCACACACACACACACACACACAAAACCCGGCCATAAATTATGACCGGGCCCTTATTCCCTTATTTCGAAGTAGTGGAGTTCCAGACTTATAGACTCAACGTCTAAACCAATCACAATTGCCGACACAACGGTCCGAGATCACGTGAATCAAAGGACCTAGTCGACATGTATGTGAAACTGGCATAAATACAAACTGAACAATGTCTTTCGTTCAGCCACAACGTGAACACGGTGAGTTGTCGATATTCCTGGGAACGTTGTAAGAGTGCTAGTCATTACTATACTGACAGGTAAGGATGTAGGTCCCCATCTGTATTTGTCTACAGGCAACCCGGAAGGTGAGGCTCGGTGACTGGTTGACTGCATGCATCAGATACCACGATGTCGATCGCTGTTGAAGATGTCAGACATCGGATTGTCTGATTGAGAGTTGGGTAGATCTGACATATTGCTGAATATGTTGTTGAAATATTGCTGACTGTGCTTTTAAACAACCCTCCGTTCAAACACCCACCCACACACGTTCACTAACAACAGGACTATCTTTCACGTCGTCCGAATGTTTTGTTTATTTCTCGTCACTAACGAGACTTTGTTTACAGCCTATAAAAAACATTACAATATTAGGCGTCCAAAATGCTTTTAGCGAACACGGATATTAGCCAACCCATGCACTCGTAAATATCGCCGTTAAGCGGTATGCATTAAACGTGTAGGATTTTGCACTTGTAAACTGATAGTATATAGACCGTAACAGAAGCTATTGGTTACCTCCCTGTCAGAGTCACATACACAAATGTGCATTGTGCACTTGATACTCCACATTGCAAGCGAGGCAAACTGGATAAACCTGTTTTAACAGCTCGACCTGGATTCATACCTGGCCAAATATACCCGTGTCTGTGCGTTTTAAAACACATCGTACATGAAGGTTTTTGATGGGGATACATTTCGAATCTATATTGTATGCCAACGGATTTGGGACTTCCGGGTTTTATTATTAATACTATTTTTTTATCTGACAATTGTTATTCTCATACATGATAGTGAATATCAGAAGGGTACTTTTAGCAAATATCGATCCACATTGACTGTTTTATACGTTGTTATTTGACAAACTACATTTAATCAATGGCAGGAGCATGTTATGCCACGTTAAACACTGTTCCTAGAGGGAGCGTGTCCAAAGCAGAAATGCCCCATAAAGAACATACGATGCAGACAAAATAGTACGGATATTACATCGTGATCAAGACATGTCCAGCTCATGAAACTCTCCGCAGACATTTAACATGACACCGGCAACAACTCTATATAATTTATTACATTACTTCTTTCTGTGGCATTTGGGATCAATATTGAACAGATTTTATGGATAACAGCTTGTTGTTGTCCATAAAGTTTGTTCAATATTGTTATTGCATTAAGTGTGTATTGTATTTGTTATTTACATCCTGTTATGTTAAGGCAAACGTCTATCTCGACAGCAGACCATACTGCTGGACCTTCCCTTAAGATAAACTGGGAAAAATGGCCTTTTCATCTACTGGTAGTGTTTTAGAAGGATAAGTTTGAGACTATTCCTCCAAACTAAAATGAACCTTATTTCACTTGTCCTCAGAGTAGTCCTGTGTGACCTAGTCCAAACTGTTTACTAAGTCTACAATGCTATTCTTTATTCCGTTCGAATTTGTGACAACGTGAAACATTGAGAACTGGTTCATAATTCATCCTCAAATGATAAATGTACTGTTGTATGAGTACCACAATGAGACTACATTATTTGTTTTTGGCAAGCGGAGAAGCGCGAACTTCAAAGGCATACGTGAGTCAGATCGAGCCAGAATGTGTGGGCGAGTAAGTGTTGTTGTGGTAGGTGAGTGAAAAAATGAGTCCACTATTTTTACTACTCCAGAGCAGCCTCCAAGTCTTTCTAGGACTCTTTCAACAATTACTTTTAGGACACAAGCGCTATAAAATTCATGATCATTGTCGTTATTAATGACCACTTTGAGGGACAACAATGTAGAATGGAAAATCGTGATGGATCCGTGACAGTAATATGTCAATATTGAACATAATTGTGACACAAATATTTGACAGAAACACTTTTGACAACATAAGTGAACTGAATATATCTATACTTCAGGCAACATCGTGGCCGTTGCAACATAGAAGGTCCTGGAAAGAATCATCCTTCTGCTGCGATACTCTCCGTTAACACACAGTCAAGAGGATGGGAAACCTTCCACTTTGCCTTCTGTTCTTCATCCTCATCTCCGTGGGTGAGTTTTGAAAATATTACTTCAGGATACAACAGTCATACTACATCGACCAAATTATTTGCTTTAAGAGTTGTATTTGTAAATAATTCTAAATCAAATAACCAATTGTCTTTTTATGTATGGGTACAATTTTTTCATATCATGATCGGTGAAATAGGTTTCAGTCATTCTCATTGAACAAATATATTTCTTGATCACTGATCGCTAGTTTTATGTGACGTCTTGACTGACGTCTCCTCTTGAGGTAAAATGCCAACTTTTTCCATTTATTTCAAAACACAATTCTGCATAATATATAGAGCAGTCTACGTGCAACTGGGAATAGCATATTATTTCTTTCTTAGGAAATAATGTTTCGAGGCAATGATATTTCAAGGTGTGAATAATCCCACAGTTTGTATGATAGTCTTCAAATGTTTCAATACATTATTCACTGCACAATATACATTTGTAATGTATATTCCAGCACCTCTCTCAGCTAGAACCTTCTTGGAAGATTACGGTGATCTGAGGGAAAGTTTAGTCGATGAGACCAAATATAATTTCAAAGTGAGGCCAGCAAATGAAACAGTCATCAACATCACTCTTGATTTAACAACACTGAACAAACTGGTATGTGCTACTTTTAACGTCGTAATTCTTTCTCACAGTGACTTAATGTATGAGTGAGTTAGTGAGTTTAGCTCTTTACGCCACACTCAGCAATATTCCAGCTATATGGCGGCGGTCTGTAAATAATCGAGTCTGGACCAGACAATCCAGTGATCAACAGCATCAGCATCGATCTGCACAATTGGGAACCGATGACATGTGTCAACCAAGTCAGCGAAACTGACCACCCGATCCCGGTAGTCGCCTCTTACAACAAGATAGTCGCCTTTTATGGCAAGCACATGGGTTGCTGAAGACCTATTCTACCCCGGATCTTCACGGGTAACTTAAAATATGTCCTTACTAAGCCACATCTATAGTATTTTGAAGGCCAATTGTAATGTAAACTTGATGTCAGAGCACCATGAGGGGATATCCAATGTTTGACTGTAATCTGGCTGTAAATAGGAACTTGAATTGACAGAAGCTGACGTTTTGCTTTGATCTCACTGTACAGAAAGTGGGCGATGGAAAGAAGAACTGGAACGTGGGAATAGAGAAAAAGAACAGTATAGATAGCAAAGGGATTGGGTTGTGGGGGTAGGGATAAAAGTAGAACTGTATAGACTGCAATGAAGGGTGAATGGAACATTGTGAAGACGGCAAAGAAGGGTATATGGAGTGAGTGAGTTTAGTTTTACGTCGCTTTTAGCAAGAAGGGTTAAGGGAATCTGAATAGACGTCAAAAAGGTAAAGTGAAATTGTCTTTTTGTTTTTTTATTGTTCCCGATGTGACGAGTACAAAAATATGATGAGTACAAGCATATAGAGGAATATGTGTACATAGCAGCTAGTGGGCTCAATAGAGATATAGTACATTAAGTACATTAAATATCAATATCAGTGATATGTTTTGGTTTAATAGTCAATCAGGGTTAAATTTAGTGATTAGAGGAAACCATTTGGCTAAAGAGCTTTCAACATTACTATTTCTTCTGGAGATAAATGATTCAGTGGTAAATATGTCTCTCAATATCCTTAAGTAATTATCAACTTTTGGAATTGTTTTTTCGAAAGAGCAATTGTAAATATATCTCTTAGCAGATAAGATTATGTGATTCAGTAATGGGTTCTTACCTAAAAAGCCAAAGCAGATAAAAGGTTTTGATTTTGAAATTGTTAAAAGGCGTCAGACACTTTGTGTGTAGGGTGACGGGTAGTGCAAAGGGACTACTGTTTTACTGGCAACCAAGGAGAAGTTGAGAACGCGTTTACGAGAAGTGTGTGGTGCACGGCAATGAGCAAACCCATTTGGTTTGTGAAAGGTAGAGCAGATATAGGCTAGTGCACGTGCATTACATGACGATGAAATTGATTCCGCGCGTAGCTGCACACGCCTTGCTCTCACGTGGTCGGTGTAGCACGACACTTGATTGCGGACAACCTGGGGTCCCTTCGCTAACAATGGCATGCGCCAGTGGGTGACACTCATACATGCTAATACGGGTCAATTGTCAGGTCGGTGCTCAACTTATCCTTGTTTGCCAGTAATGGGAGGAATGATATGTCTGAAAGTAACATTTAATCTCGTCATTCAGTGCACAGCGTGATCTCCGCACCAAGGTCTTAAATTTACGTGAATCAGTTCTGATAGCATGCCTGCGGACTATTGATAACCTATCTCCACATTTTAATTTGATTTGATTTTCCTGTTTGCAGGACATAGGATCTCAGACGTTAACTTCCACATTTCTGCTGTATATGGTGAGTGAAGATTCAAAACACGTAAAAAGATATAAACAGAGAATCAACATACGTACAAACATACGTATTAACACTCAACCGAAAACCCAATGTCGAAAAGCAGAAGGCAGGATAACACTGGTAGAAGAAATGCAGATAAATCCATCTCGCCACCATCCATCTGGACACCATCCGATATGCCAGGGTGTCAACAAGAGGGCTCGGGGTAGATCTTATACTAGATATGCAAAACCTCTGCAGAAACCGATATCATGATTTGAACATTTACAAGTCGTTATCTATTTTGGAATCCTGAAAAGAAAACCAACTAGTAAAACACAATTTGTGATCATCTAGGTTGTTATCCACAAAGAAAAATTCTCGTGTATGCTTGAATTATTGTCTTAAAGTATAGGTCCTTGTTCATCTATGAACTTCAGCCCAAACGTTTGAACTTCATGGGAATACATTTTGGAGCCAAGGGCTAAGTACCTGTTGTTGACATCCAGGACGACCCAGAACAGGCAGATATCCATGATGACAAACACTAACGTAAATTCTATTCATGTTCCTATGATTAATTAACTATGTATATCTTATTAAATTGAATAGGATTATTTCTATTTTCAGACTAGCTTTAACTTGATTTGGTTACTTTAAAGGTCAAGTATATAGTTAGCTTACCCATAAATCTGCCAACTTACAGATCTGGTTTAGGAGAGGAAAAAGCTTATGTGATGTCGTGTATCTTGTTTCTACTTCTGCGAGGTATACATTTAAATATAAGTTCGACCACATGTCTCTTATCTTTTATTTTAGTCATGGATTGATGAGCGACTCACTTGGCCATCAACGACTAACATCAACTATCTGATATACAGCATCAAAGAGATATGGACACCAAATCTTGTTATTACAAATTAGTAAGTTCATTTTCTAGCCACATCGGAAACACACGGAAGAGATATTAAAGAAGTAAGTCCAAATATATGTCTAATCCCCCGAAAATGATAACATGCTAAACAACATATTGTGTATTGCAACAACAATTCAAAGTGTCGACTAACCAGGACACACAACATATGGAACACATATTGGTGATTTTGAAATCATAAAAGCCCAGAGTTAATGTCTATTCAACATTCTAAAGTTTTTTACGACATCCTATGCATGCAACCATGGTAGACTAAATGACTCAGTGTGGAAACTTAGTTTAGTCTAGAAACGTAATGGTGGCAAGAAATATGCTGACATTTCCCATTAAGTAATAGAAAGACACGTTAGTTCTAATACAGGGTTTTGTGAGATACTGCTATATGTCGGTTCATGTTAATGGCAAAGTTCATACAAGGTCTATAACTAAATGTACTCTATGATCCATACATTTCAGATAGGAGTATTTGAAATACATATATTTTTAGTGTACATTTTCATATTCTCCTGCAGGAAACATAAACTATACTAACCTTTTAAGGTAAAACGAGTTCAAAATGCCTCAGCTATATCACACAAAGGTAGTGAAATGGTGACGTCATTGCCTTCTGATGCTATTTTGTTGTTCTGGTCCAGACTCGATTATTTACAGACCGCCGCCATAAAGCTGGAATATTGCTGAGTGCGGCGTAAAACTAAACTCACTCACTCACTATGTTGTTGTTTCCAGTGTAAATGACTTTGGACTGATTGGGATATACGAAGACGGCCCCGTTCCTCTCAGGGTGTCCTATGAGGGTCGAGTGGTGTGGACTCTCCGCGTGGCCACGACGACAACGTGTCAGGCCGACATTACGTATTATCCGTACGACACTCAGACGTGTCAGGTTCAAATCATGGAATGGGCACATCCATTCAATGAAGTGGATCTTGTGCCGGAGGGGATTGAAAGCAGTTCCTTCCAAAGCGACGGCGAATGGGAGTTACTAAATGCATCTTTGGAAAGTGCTGGAGATATCGGTGCACACAATTCAACTTATAAAAAGATTAAGTATACATTCCACTTCCAGAGGCAGTTCCAGTGGTACATTCCGTTGATGATGATACCATTGGGAGTTCTGTCGCTGCTGATGCCTGGCGTGTTCCTGGTGCCAGTGGAGACCGGAGAGAAGATGTCCTACGCTCTTACAGTGATGCTGTCATTTACGGTGATCAGTTCTTTTCTGTTTGAAACACTACCAACCGTCTCAGTCAACTACTCCTTGTTAGGTAAGTCAAAGGGTCATAGTTGTAAGAAAGTAGTTGCAAGATTTGAGAAATTACAACTATATTACACCTTTTTGAATTGAACAGAAATCCTCAAAGATTCAGTTTGTGTAACGCAAAATCACACAGAGAAGCGACGTTAAGTTATCAACTCCAACGTAGTTTCAAGGTTTCAGAGACGTATTTATGTATGCGACCCCATCGACGGACACTTTGTGTTTAATCACTCACGATATACCAACAGCTACTCTTACATTTAAGTCAACCCAAGTCCTAATGCAATGAGGTTTGAAAACAGAATATGCGTATGTTAAAAACAACATTTGAGTTAAACACTAGATTTATATAATAGTGATGCTTAAATAGCTGGAATATTAATCGCTCAGTGCGACGATAAACAACAAACAAACAAATCCATTTGGTCTCCGGGGAACCACCATTTTGTTGTGATGACAAAAGACACAGCTTGCCGATTTGATACTTCAACAAAGGAACATTTCACACTGTATTTGTTTTCAGGCGTCTACATTTCTGCGACGATGACGTGCGGTGCCCTGATGATCGTTTTTTCACTGGTAGTGCTCTTTTTCAACCACCCTGCTGATGACAACGACCGCATGCGAACTGTGAAGGCACTTGATATTTGTGCTTTTAGTTTCTTCTTTAGCCTGATGGTACTTATGATGATCTGTTTTCTGCTTATTTTGAATCATCCTATTGCTGACAAGAACGTTAGTGTTCTTGGAATAATGCTTGGTGTTCCCATTGTAGCCAGCGTTGCCATATGTTTGGTTGTAATCATATGTGCCTGTCGAAGAAGTTCCCATATCAAGGATACAGGAACGTGAAAAAAGGAAAAGTGAACCTTTGCTGCATTGCATTGTAGAGACTTGTCGTGTCCACATGTACACATTGTATGAACACTTCCGCTTACGCACAAACGCACATTGCATCTCACAAATCAGTTTGTGGAATGCATTTGAAACTTTGGTTCTATTACAGTGCATATATTTCTTCATACATTTTTATATTTTTCACAAATTATTCATAACACAGGAAATATGTATAGGTGCAAGTCGCTGTGCATAGTCTGTCTTGTTTATAGCCCCGCATGGCAAGCGCAGTAGTAGGCAATTAGCAAACGCGTCCACGCCAACCTTAAACTAATTAATCAAAGATGAAGTTATTGAGCTGTGTCGGCTCCGGCCTTTCTTCTCGGGTACATCCCTTGGTCAAGCACAGATAAGTAGTCCCATCCCAGCAGGAGCATGTCTACCACCAACTTAGTCCTAATCGAAAATCAACTTTTGTTGAACAAGATCGAGATTACCATCATGCCATCCTCTTTGTCCTGACGTAAATGCCATGGTCAAGCGCTGACAGATATTTTGTTAAGCAGCTGGCGCAAGCTGACTGTGGCTACACCATTAAGAAAATCAAACCTTGTTAGGTAATCATCTTCTTACCACCTACCTCGTGTAGTATACTTTGTCAGCATAGGGTAGATAACGCATATGGAAACTCCAACTTTACAGAAACTTGATAATGACAAACGGGTAGAGCTGTGGGGTATAAAATCCTGGGTTCTTGCATCTCAGGCACACTTGCTTGAATAAACCCAGGAACTCACAGCTCTCTTCTTTCTTGTTTCAAGGTAAGAAACATTTAAACTTTATTCTTGTTTATGTCTGACTTGTTATTTCTTTGTAATTATCGTTTTGAATATGTTAGAGTTTGGTTAGAAACATTCCTACAACATTGAAGCACTTTTATCATTGCAAATGCTAGTTCTAGATAACCAATTAATTCTTAGGCACTATCCAGGGATATTTATTTATGCACATTGCGTCGTGGGCTCCTCAAGTTTTATGTCTTTCGTGTACAAACAAATATTTCTTTTCTATGTTTCAACACACGTGTAGATCCCCAGTCTTTGTCTTGTTTCATTCATGTTTGCGTGTTAGATCTGTATATGCAGGTTAGATTCTCGTTCTGTAGCCTAGATTCTAGTAGCCTAGTAAGAAAAGCAGTTCCGAGAGTTTATACAATCATTTCCAGCAAAGACGAAGTTGCATGTATTTTACGATAGTCCCCTGATCAAATAATATACGCGCTCACAGAATAGGTCACAACAGCCAATATTTTGATATTTCAACAACATGATAAGTGCAACATATGTTATATTTGGGATTACACTTTCTTAGTAAAGTACAAATTCTAGTACTTTTTGAGTTGAGCCCCATCCGGGATTCGAACTCACATCCTCAGAGTCAGGCACCTACTCGCCAGCACAAAAGTTACGCTCTAACCCATTCAGTCGCGGTAGCTGAATGGGTTAGGCGGCTGACTTTGTGTGCTGGCGAGTAGGTGCCTGACTCTGAGGGTGTGAGTTCGAATCCCGGATGGGGCTCAACTCAAAAAGTACTAGAATTTGTACTTTACTAAGAAAGTGTAATCCCAAATATAACATATGTTGCATTTGACCACTTTCTAAATGGCATTGTGTAATCATAACATGATAAGTATTTGAATAATGGTATTAAACGTTCCGTTCCCCGTGCAATTGTATACCGTACAGAACAATTTATACGCGAATCACATTACCGTAATCAGTAGAAAATGGTATTGTCTACTCTTCATGTTACCCGAAAATATACATTCAAATCCGTTTAGTTTGCAATTACAGTCTTCGTTCCGTATTTATTTAGCTCCGTAATTTAAGAAATACGCGTAGCCATTGACAACAGCGCTGTCCTAGTACATTATTACATATTCATTTAACTAAGTTACTGTCTTGTTTTGTAAAGCACACAAATGTAGCACTACAGCATTACATATATTCTAGGTCATGGCTTAACTCCGTATAGGTCGAAATTGCACGTTGCCAATAGCAACACCACCGTCGAAATACACTTACCGTAGTCACCCAAATAATTGATGATAAAACAAGCTTAAGTAGTAGTACTCTTACTAAAACTAGGCCTTCTGTCCCCGCATTTACAACACTTTTATATCTCTCTAATATCACTTACCGTATCTACTGAAATTATTGTATTGAGAAAATAAATGTTAACATTACAGTTAGAACGCGTACAGTCAATACCGGAGTATATAAATGGTATATGTCAAATCTTAACACTTCGTGCCGTTTACCGTATTCGCTCAAGGCATGTATGTTGATAACGGACATTTACTTACACTAGTCATAAATCGTTACCGTAGTTAATGCATTAAGCGCGACATACCTTTATAGTCGTAAATTCCTACCGTAGTCAATACATTAAGTGCAAGATACCGTAATAATCATAAATTCCTACCGTGGTTAACGCAATGGGCACTACATACCGTCAAAGACTGGGGCTGGAAATGTGGCTTTTCCTTATCGTCTAAAACTTTATTGACTATATATAATGCACATATATGTTTGATATATTTTATATATTTTGTCCTAATATTTCAGTGTCACATGTCACATGTAATAACGTACTAACGATACATCGACGATATATTGTTAAATATTAACTCACTAACTGTAAAACATAATCATGATTCATATGTGTAGACTGTTATGAGGTAGAACTTGATATAAACCCTAAACCCATATCGTATTAAATGGATTTCACTCTTAACCATCCCAGCATCTGATATCCTGTATCATCACTATTTGATATTGTTGAATAAATATACTCATTTTGTTGTCAAAAACATTCGTATGATAAGAGGATCAATTTTGTTAGGAGCTTGTTTACATGTTTCAACTTCAGGGTTGTTCCGGATTTATTGAATAGCTGCATTTGTTGTTTCGTTGGTTGTTTACGCCACAATATTCCAGCTATATGGCGGCGGTCTGTAAATAATCAAGTTTGGTCAGACAATCCAGTGATCAGCCGCAGGAGCATCGATCTACGCAATTGGAATTCGACATGTGTCAACCAAGTCTGCGCGCTTGGCCACCCGATCCCGTTAGTCGCCTCTTACGACAAACATGGGTTGCTGAAGACCAGTTCTAACTCGGATCTTCACGGGTATAGTAAATAAGATACCCATCAGACAAAACGGTTCTGTACAATATGTAATCATATAGGCCTAAGTTATGAATGCCATAATAATATTTCTAGATGGCACTAGATACCTAAGGTGTTGGTGTTCCTACATATCTGAATTTGTTAGAACTTTCTGTATCATTAAGTATTCTCGATGTAACAATACGAGAGATCACATATTATCGATATTGGAATGTTCTGCTGTCTCAGGAAATTTGTCAGAACACGAGCGATATGTGGACGGACTTCATCATGGTGAAACGTGAAGTTACCTTTCTGTCCTTGACTGAAAGGCAGCACATGAGGCCCAATGATCTCATCACTGTATCGCAGAGTTGTGTCCGATCATGGGATGTGATGTCTCCCCCATACCATAACGCAGATGCCACGAAACTGTAGACGTTGACCAACGCACGCGTCAGCATACCATTCACGTCGCCGTCTGCCGTCTGCCCTGCTATCTGAGCTGCCCAGATGAAATCTCAACTCGGTGAACAAAACACCATCCCAATCTTGTCTCCTGTGCCGTAGATACTGTCTGCACCAAGCAAGACGTGCCTCTCGATTACGTCCAAAATTGGACGCATTGCTGGCCTTCGATGAGTCAGCCGAATGTAGTTGTCTTGTTGACGTGATGTCACGCACGGACGATCAGTCCGAGGCAAATCTCTCCGGTTTTTCTGTTATCCGTGGCATGACGTACGTGTTGAAATTAACGTGTTTTCCGCAACATTCTGAGGCTAGAGAAAACTCAACCACCCTTCAATTTTCAATACCAGGTGTGTGAACTTCAGGTGTCACAAAGCATGCAAAAAATGAGTAAGTTCAAGTGCACGTGCCACGTGACATGCTACATGTTTATTTAGGATAATTTTTATAACTTTCCAAATAATTTTAACTTTGTGCAATTTTAAGTTAAACACAGTTACTTTTTCCGCTAGTATATATTATCTACATGACGCCGACGACTTAAAAGCGCTCTTCAGAGTGGACAGTTCCCTGTGTTTGTTGAGGTAATCTGTCCGGTAGGATGGTACAGATGGTCCCCAGGATGCATCCGGAACCAGAGACATCCTCATCCTCTGGAAAATATTAAATACCATAAGGTACCGACGATCAATATTCGTGCATGTTGTGTGTGTTTGTGTGCGTGCGTGGGCCTGCGTGCGTGCATTCATGAGTGCGTGCGTGCGTGGATCGTGTAACAAATATTCCGCAATACGTTAGCTCTAAAACGTCCTCTTGCCATTTCCTCGTACTATAACGTCTTCTTTTAACACTAGACTTCTATAATGTTGCACTGGTTCATATTCATCATAATGTCTATTTGAATATATCTTTCCTATGTTACGCATTAATGTGCCCCAGGGAAATGTCGGGCTAGACGTGATCTTCAGCAACCAATACCTGTCATAAAAGGCGACTTGGGTCAGGTTCACTGACGTCGCTGATGCTTGCTATTGTTTCCATTGCATATCGATGATGTCAATCACAAGGTGGTCAGGTTCAGACACGATTACCATTTGTCACCACTGGCCCCTTTCCGTAACCTCCAAGAAGATATTCGGCTTGTCCAGGAATAACACGATTACCTCACCGCGGCCATGTTGCTCGAATACAGATGACTACGGCTTCAGACAGCAAATACAACACAATAATGCACGCTGGGAATTTAGCCTCGATTTCGCATGTATAATTACCTTAGCGGTGGGGTAGCCTAGTGGTTAAAGCGTTCGCTCGTCACGCTGAAGCCCCGAGTTCGATACCCCACATGGGTTCAATGTGTGAAGCCAATTTCTGGCGCTGCTGAAAGCGGCGTTAAACCAAACTCACTCACTCACTCAAGCAACCAATCACTATTAATTACCTGTAGAAGACCTCCTTTTCCTCGGTGCAAAGCTACAACCATCATTACAAATACTGGTATAACTGGAAGGGAAGCGATGATCCAGCCAATTATAGTGGAGTAGTAGGGATACACATACTCCCCGTATGTAGGAGGATGATACTGAAGGAAGGTGGATATCAGAATTGTCTGAAAAAAGGAATTGTTAACGAACATTATCTGAATTTTGTTTTCTTGGTTCTTTAACGCCACACTCTATATATTCTGCTATGTGGCGGCGGTCTGTAATCATTTGTCTGGGCCAAACAATCTAGTGATCAACAGCATGAGCATCGATATACGCAATAGGAGTTCGATGACTGTGTCAAGGAAGCCAATGAGCCTTACCATCTTACGACAACTTGCCTCTTACGACAAGCATGGGTTGCTCAAGACCAATTCTAACCAGGATCTTCACGGGTTTAATAATTTGTAAACACCTTTGCACATGCATCAACAATCTCTTCGAAATCAGCGCCATGCATGTTTCCAACCTGAAGCTTACTTGTGAAGGGTGGAATAAATTTTTCACCTACATCAGGGCGTTTCCGACTTGATTTGGAAACGGGGGAATATTGTAGATCTTGAAACCCACGGGTATGGATTACATTTAAAGACATAATCTGAGCGAGCCGAGATTCGCACCATATCACAGGTTTCTGCAACGTCAAAGGGGCGAAACTGTCCAAAGTGAATTGTTGCGCATGCGCCTGAGACAACTTGGCAGTTCGTGCCTCCCACGTGATCCAGAATTTAAAGAAAGGCACCGCTTCTGAAAGACGTGCATCTGTTGCGTTCCATACATGAGGGTGTTTTCACGTTAGGGTCATGGAAACCGCGACCCCTGATCTTAAGGCAGGATCCGAAAACTTAAGTCTACCTACCACTAAGAGTGAGTGAGTGAGTATGCCGCTTTTAGCAATATTCCAGCAATATCACGTCGGCGAACACCAGAAATGGGCTTCAGACATTGTACCCATGTGGGGAATCGAACCCGGGTCTTCCGCGTGACTAGCGATGCTTTAACCACAAGGCTACCCCACCGCCCCCTATCGCTAAGATGAAGCGGTACACTACATAAAGATAGCAGGGCCAAACTGATGCAAAACAAATGTGACAGGTCGGAGATTGCCACATCGCTTTCGAAATGATGACGTCATTTCATTATGATATTTCATTTTGGGAATTAAGGGAAATTTCCGGCCAATCAGCCGTGTTTCCATATGTGTTTATAATATTCTTTTAAAGCGGTGAATGATTGTCCCGTATGCCTCTAAAATAAAATGTGAATATGACGCAGTGTATGATATGCGCTTCTCTTGTCTGAATACAGATCAACAGTTATCCTTAAGACAAAGGTGAAGTTAAAGTTGAAATGATCAGTCTTACCAGGAGTATTGTTGGAGTAACATAACACCACGTTATCTTGAAAAAGAGGGGTGCGGGCCTGCCAATCATCAATTGAATGTCGTCGCTGAATCGGTCTATACCTGTGAGTAAGTGAGTCAGATTTTACGCTTGTCTGAACAGTATTTAAGGTTTCATGACGTGCCAATGTTTTCTTGTATAATTTACGGAATGAATGAGGACACGTATTATCAAGATCTCAATCTTTATTTGCCTGTCAGAAATATACACATAGCAAATAGTATCGCAACACCTATTATGTTAACCGCCCATAAGGCCATTTATATTCATATTATAATTATATTTGTTTGCGTGATTGTTTTGACATTTGGGGTGCACCATACAATCGTATTGGATACGTTTTAGTGCTACGGTCAAAGGCGAACACCACGTGCAATACGTGTACTCGTCATTGCGCAAAGGTTTCAGAAAACCGTTCTTATAGCTCGAAAACTAGAAATATCAATTAATTTCGTTGTTGATAAGCAAATATTGCACATCCTTAAGTGACAACTACTGAACATGGCAAGTTATTTGTATACAGAATGCTGGCATATAGTGTTATTGCAAGAGATGTTGGTTATCACCCATTGACTATCAGGAAACTAATGACGCCAAGGACCTCCTACGGAGCGCCATTATTTGACATTTAAATATTTTTTCAGGGTCAATGTATTACGATAGTAAGTTAAATTGAGGTTTGATAAGTTCCTTCACCATGGTTAATGTTAAATATCATTGCTATGAAAGATATGAGGTTTTGCGATACCTTTTTCGATGAGCATACAATATTTCTTCAGTTGTTCAAATAGCTCAAAGAAACGCATTCATTATTAAATAATAACAATACCAAAAGTTATATATACATAAAGATAATATGAAAAAACAAGTACTTTAAAAATGGTAAAAGGCGGTAGGTATTATACCTCCATCGAGCCAATTAGAAGGTATTATTCTGCAAATATTCACCTGGATAAAAGTACGATGAAAATACAGTCCAAAACCTATCTACCTACCCACTGTTTACTCACCACATAATCAAACCAATACAGTTTCCAACCACACAACCAAACACAAATATGTTACTCACCATACAACCATGAAACCATGATACACTCCAGAAGAGCAGCCAAAGTGATGAAGATGGTGACTATGTACCAGTCCACCAACTGAAACACGTACACCCCACTCTGAAAATAAGAGTCACATACCATTATAAGAGATGATCTATATGGATATGAGTCGGATCGTCCCGCCGATCTTTCGCGTTTCGACCCATCATGTAGAATAATATACCATCGGCTCCAGCTTATTGATTCAACGTTTCTCATGTGCACTGTATTAAATATTTGCACAAACCTCAGTCGTCATCACAAGTCCGGCGAGGAAAGACACCAAACAGTAGGCTGCGTTGATTGGAACCCTCCATCTCAGTAGGGAGGGATACTCGTCCATGATAGCAGCCATGAAGGTTTCAACATGAGAGAACTTGATAAAATAAATTAATAAAAAATTGAACTAACAAGACAAAAAATATTACGAAAAAGGATCGTAGCAACGACAACAAAATCGAAAATTCAAGTTTTTGAAAACAAACAAACCTTGAAATAACGAGAAAATAATCGATGGTACGTAATTATAATCGAAGCAGCGAAATCCTTTTTCAAATAATTGAATTAATGAGAATTTTGCATTAAAATATATTTCGATATGAAATATTTTTTCTGGAACATAATCCCAAAACACCAGGTGTGTACTTTCTTTTACACGTCAGTGTAGCACAGTAAACGTTGTTTTCTTACTAGTGAATCCATTGCTAATAGGATAAGCATAGCAAAGAAGATGAAACTCCACAACTGAGGAAGCGGAAGTTGCGCTAAGGCTTCTGGGTAGATAACAAAGCCCAATCCAGGTCCTACAAGAAAACAAGAGTTTCAAACATAATAAATTATAATTAAAGGTATGGATGTTCGGGTGTTGTGATGTTTTGGGCGACGTTCTAATGAAAAATGCATTTGCTAAAAGGACAACTGTAGCTTGGATAACAACCAGATGATAAATGGCATTCATAGTTTGGTGTATAATTCATTCTCAACTCTCCATTCATGATCTGTATAGGTCCTGTAAGTCTTGCGAGGCGCTACTTCCGGTACTAAGCTGGTTCCCTGCTCCTTTTGAGCGCTAACATGCAATATGCGAGACGGGGCCCTGCTTACTTCTGGTACCAGGGTTCCGGTGTCAAGCGGATATTCAAGAACCAGTTCTGGTTCCAAATTGCGCGACAGCGAAATATGACTTTACTAGACGGGAGCAAATGTACAACCACGCTTGACATTATTGACCATCTCGTGTCATTCCGGGACAAGCCGAATATCGACTCGTGCCTCTCTGGTAGGATTTCATATTTGCGCATGAACATCAGAACTACTTTAAACAAGAACGATAACTCTATTCCTGTTTGATTCCAATTTTACTTAATATCACCGAAGCACTCGTACATTATCAATTTTAAAGTATTAAACCTCTTTGATACAACTAAAATAAGAGGAAAAAATATTTGTTTAAGACATATTGTAACGTAATATTAGCAGCTTTTCAACTTATATTTACAAATATACATTTCTAAATACGTTTTAAGAATCACAAATGGGATTTATGTTATTGAATCCTAAAGTAGATATTCAAAAATGGCTTTAAAATATTTCTGAAACTGAACATTCGTGTAACCTTGCTGCCATACCCTTGGTTGAATTTTAAAATGAATACGCTGAAAAAAATGAATGACCCCCCAAAACGTCAGACTAAAATATCCCCAGAGATGTGAAACGTAAGCCCAATGTCAAAGATTAAAGTTGATTAGTTACATACAAATATAATATTATTATTTTAAAACTAATATTTTGAAGCGACACATAATTACATTTCCTAAAAATGTTGAAAGCGCACGTACAATCTTCAAAACTAGCCCGCAAGATAGTCAGAAATAGACTCCGTTGCACGTGTGACAGCCGTTATGGCAACAAACGCACGTGCGTGTATTTGATTCTCTCACCATCCATGGCATTTTCCTTACTAAAAACTACACATGAGGCAACACAGTTATGTTAGCTACAAAAAAAACAAAAACGTTCTTTGTACTTTAAATATGACGATATATATTTTTTATGATTTTTTAAACAAACACATAATGACATAATCGATTTAAGTACTGATTATTTTTATAAAAGCAGCGAAATCATTACGCGCGTTGTAATTGGTTTGTCGTATTTTTGCTCATAACAAGCATCGATAGGGGTCAAGTCTTCTTGGAGGTTACAGAAAGGGACGAGTGGTGACGAATGCCATGCTTGACTGTCACAGCTGCTGACAGTCGTAATAGTTCTGGAGAATATCGTCTACCGCATCGCCAGAATTACAAAAAAGTGAACGCCCCATTGGGTGTGTCAGTGAGATTAGTTTTACGCCGCACCAGGCAATATTCCAACTATGTGGCGGCAGTCTGTAAATAATCGAGTCTGAACCAGACAATCCAGTGATCAACAGCAACAGTATCGATCCGACGCAATTGGGATACGATGTCATGTATCAACCAAGTCAGGGGTCCTGGCCACCCGATCCCGTTAGTCGCCTTTTACCACAAGCATGTGTTACTGAAGACCAATTCTAACCCGGAACGCCCATGGATGAATTATCGACCTTAGTGACACTCCAGATATGGTAGATGTATTACAGCATCGTGAGGTAAGGACTATAGTTACCTGATGATACAACATCCGTTATTGGTACACTGGCTTCATGTGACATGTAGCCAAGGATAGAGAACACAACCAGACCAGCAAACATGCTTGTACCTTCACACATGAACGTGCAGAAAATCGCATTCCTGAATGCAATACAAACATTGTGACAACCTATGACTATGCAATCAGACAAAATCTTGATTTTGTATGCTTAAAATGCTGATTTGATTTACATACCCAAAGCTTGATGTAGTTCACCAGACCCATAAAATGCAGTCATATAGCTTGTGGAAGAAGGGATCGTGTTCATAATGTATGGCTGGGAGTGGAGGGTGATGATGAGGATTTTTATGGAGAGGCATGTGCAATGGGAATGATCCCCCTAAGATTTATGTACAAAGTAAGTGGCCCCACCCCCAACCCCGCATGTCATGTACAAAATCAATCCCCCCTTTACATAATTGTTAAGCATAATTAAAATCATCACCATCATCTCCCATCCAATAATTATGAACGGTCCCTGATTATCAAAGTCTTTCTTGTACCATCGTAAAGATCCCACCATAAAGAAATAATTGGTAAACTATTTCTATGATCTCATTTTTATTTGTAGATTTCCATGCAGTCATTTTTGTGTTAGCACTGGCTAAAGCTTTAGGGCCTATTCGATTATGCTAAACCGGTTTTGGTTTCTGGAAAACCATGCACTCGTTTATGTCGAAACCTAAAACTTGGTTCTGAAACTTCGAAACCATCTCCGAGGCATGTTTCGCAGTTTCGGTTTCGCGTTCTCTCACAACAAACATGGCGGAAAAAGATCTTGGTGGCAAAATAGAACAGCAGTTTCTGTAACCAAAATAATGATACAAATCAACTGAGAACTAGGAAAATATTATTTAAAACGCCAGTCTATTGAACATGACTATTTTATGTAACTTGTATACATATAATTATTTGTAACAATATATAGTATGACCAGAAATTATTGAGAATTTTAGGAATATGTTTAATTGGATTTCTAGTATAAACAACCTTGACCAGCTATCAAGTGCTTGGTTTCATTCAAGAGAGACAACTCCGTTAATCTTTTTCATGAGTTTGTGAAGAGTTATCCCCCTTTGTTTACTTGCTAGCAGACGACAATTTTCAGTGATCCTCAGTATGGATGATTTAGAGAAGAGGAAGTTGATTTTAGAGTATTATAACAAGGACATCAGATCAGCTAAAGTGATTTCAAGTAGAACAGGCATCCCTTTGTCCATTGTTTATCGTGTTTTGAAAAATATTGCAAATGGATGTGACATTGAGCACCAGGGAGGCGCAGGTATGCCCAGAAAATTGACTGTCGGTGACAGGAGGCGGCTTGGTATTCTTGTTTCTAAAAACAAACGAAGGAGTTTAGAAAACTTAAGGCTGGATATGATTGATAGAGGAACTGTGGCTGTCTGTAAGGAGACAATTAGAACTGAGCTGCATGCAATGGGTTGGCAGAAAAGTCGAGGAATTCCATCACCGATCATGAAACCTGAACAAAAGGAGCGAAAGTTGAACTGGTGCTTACAGCATAGAAATTTTAACTGGGACAATGTGATTTTCTCAGATGAAAGTTCTGTGTGGCTGTTTCCTAATACACTGAAATTCTGGACCAAACAACTGAGAAACCTTTGTGTCAGCGCCCAAAGTACAGTCCGAAATCTAACGTTTGGGGTGGCATATCTGTGTTAGGGACAACGCCCGTGTGTGTATTTGAAGGGAATATGAACAGTGAGCGGTACACAGATATTCTCGAGGGACATTTACTTCCATTTGCTCACGTGTCTATGGAATTTTTGGATTTTCCAGCAGGACAACGACCCAAAACATCGTTCAAAGCATTCACAGGCCTGGTTTTGGACCCAAAATATGACATTATTAGATTGGCCAAGCTATATTCCTGACCTAAATCCAATAGAAAATGTTTGGGGACTTATGAAGGAAAGTGTCAATAAGAAAAATCTGACAAATATTGCTGAAATGAAAGAAGAGGTGATCCGATATTGGGACAGCATGGACCACGACTTTCTAACTTCTTTGATCAGTAGTATGCCCCGCCGCATTGAAGCCTGCATTGCTGCCCATGGTGACTTGACAAAATACTAACTGTTCACCTGTCTTTGAATCTGGAGTTATGTTCTGCTAATATTCACATTAATACGTGAGTAATGAGTGAAAAAAATTACAATCTTTAACTTCTCAATAATTTCTGGTTGTACTGGTAATTACATATACGCAAATATTTACTTCCAAAAGCATCTCAGCTCTTTATTATTTCTTAATTCCCTGATAAAATTAGAGAGGCACTGTAATCAAATCATTAAAGAAATGGACATAATAAGCGGATCAAAAACCTTTTTTGTGTACAATATCTTGACACATCAATGAATAACTCAGCACAATTTCAAGACATAACGTGAACGTTTGCAGTTCATTCAGACTCTTGACTTCAGTATCTAATGTGACCACCACGAGCGGCAATAACTGCAGCACAGCGTCTATGCATGGAGTCCACCAATCGATTGATGAAGGCCACTGGCACCTTGAACCACACTCTGAGAAAGGCCTGGCGCAATAAATCGGCTGTGTTCGGCCTTGGTATGACATGATTCAGTCTCCTCTGAATTTCATCCCAAAGATATTCAACTGGGTTTAAATCAGGATTAAGGGCAGGCCACTGCATAATGTTGACACCGTTCTGCTGTAGGAAGACCCGTGTAGCTCTGGCAGTATGGGTCCAGGCGTTATCATGCTGGAAAATCTTGTTCCGGTGACGTGCGAAATATGGTATGACGTAGGGTCTGAGAGCTTGGTCGATGTAGCGCACTGCTTTGATGCCGCCTCCTCTCCCTGGACCAAGGTTCCGGAACACAACAGGGCCGAAACACTGGTTCAGGCCTATTCCACCCCATACCATGATGCTTGCACCTCCCCATGAGTCTCGTTCCATAACACATTGGTCTGAGTAACGCTGACCACGTCGTCGACATATTCTTGTTCTGCCATCTGCAGTTGATACGCAGTACCGACTCTCATCTGTGAATAGAACAGTTCTCCATTGCCTGTATCGCCAGTTTTGGTGTTCACGCCGATGACGAGGGGTGAGGATAGGTCACCCGGTAAGGTCTACGGCAATGGAGGTTCCCGCTGTTAAGACGTCGGCGTACTGTATCAGTACTGATTGGTCTTCCGTGTGTTCCCACTGTCTGGTGTGCTGTTTCGGATGCCTCCATGAAGGGATTCTGTACATGCTGTCGCACAACATGGCGGACTTGTCGTCGTTTGGTCACCCTTGGTCTGCCAGTACGGGGGCGATCATTTGTGGTGTTGGTGGCCCGGAAACGTTGCTGCAGCCTGTAGATGGTCTGAACGTTGACCTGGAAGTGATTGGCAACGGCTTTTGCAGTGTGGCCAGCTTCAAGTCTTCCTAGCGCCTGGTTCCTCTGAGCTGTCGTGAGAAGGGACATCCTGCGGACGTTGTAATGTGAATGTTTCAACCAGGTTTGGGGGTGCATTTTTTAGGGTTGGTCCTTGTGAACAGCACGTGCAGCATGAGTTGCATGAAAAACATGGAGAACACCGTACCATCTCCGAGATCAGGTTGCGTTTTGGAGACCATTTCCTGGGTTCCATTCTGAGTTTGGGAAGGAATGTCTTTGCTCAGGTAAAGTTGGAGACATTGTCAAACATATACAATCAAAATATTAAATGAGTTTACAGAAAATTCCAAACTGACGTTTCTTTTGCTGCTTAGTATATAATAGCTGAGACATTTAGTTTGTACAGATTTTGAAACCGGATGGTGAAACCATCCACTCGTTTATAAAACTAGAAACTAGTTTCACTTTGAAACCATGTATCCGAAACTGGACACTCGTTTATAACAGGAGAAACCAGTTTCAGAAACCCAAACCAGTTTCGCAATAATCGAACAGGCCCTTAGTTGCAAGATAGTTGAAGCAGAACACAACTTTTCTATTTTATACCGAATGATATCATAAACATAGTTCAGAAAACAAGTATACTGTAATTCGTTGTTTTACGCGACGCTGCACCCTACCCTAGCCGATAAGTCGTCTCTTACAACAAACGTGGGTGCTGAAGACCAGTTCTAACCCCGAATCTGGACGGGTAAGTTTTGCAAATATTAAACATATCCGGTGATTGGATAAATTTTGATATCTACGAATTTCCAGTTATCTTTCAAGCATCACACAGTGCGTGTTTTCTAATATTTGATTTAATTTGGATACAGATGAGAATGAGGAACCACTGTATGCATACATATGTTTGAAGGCAACTGGCACAATTATGAAAAACAGAAGGACTTCGACAAGTCCTTGCAGTATTATCACAGCTCTTCAGCTTGACGTGGGGCGACTCTCCATCAACTCTAAGCAAAATGACAAATCAAATGAAACATCGCACTGCATTTCCTACAGATATAGTCGGGCCTGAAACTACCGGACACAGTTGGCATGGAATTTGGTGAAGCTGGCCATAGTTACAATAATCCCAGAAAGGCTTCCAACCACACATGTAGCTAACACAGGGAAACGTACATTAGCGTGTGGTATTACCTGAGGCTGTTGGCATGGAATTTAGTGCAGCTAGCCATAGTTACAATAGTCCCAGATGGACCTAGGGAGAGGGCACTTAGAGACAGGCTTCCAACCACACCTGTAGCTAACACAGGGAAACTTACATTAGCGTGTGGTATTACCTGATACAGTTGGCATGGAACTTGGTGTAGCTGGCCATAGTTACAATAGTCCCAGATGGACCTAGGGAGGGGGCACTTAGAGACAGGCTTCCAACCACACCTGTAGCTAACACAGGGAAACTTACATTAGCGTGTGGTCAGTATTACCTGAGACAGTTGGCATGGAACTTGGTGTAGCTGGCCATAGTTACAATAGCCCCAGATGGACCTGGGGAAAGGGCACTTATAGACAGGCTTCCAACCACACCTGTAGCTAACACAGGGAAACTTACATTAGCGTGTGGTCAGTATTACCTGAGACAGTTGGCATGGAACTTGGTGTAGCTGGACATTGTTATGATGCATCCCCAGGCCGGACCAAGGGAGTAGAACACCTGGAGACAGGCCTCTAACCACACCTGAAAGAAATACCGGCGATATTGTAAAAATAATAGACATAATATAGTCATAAATGTCTATCTGTTTTCTGAATCGTCTACCCTTCCACACCATATATAGCACAGTTGTTTAATTACCTGCATTTCTAGAAGTTTACTAAAGTTTGGAGTGATGTAAAACAGAGCTCCATCTGTTCCTCCGGGTAGAGTCAGGCCTCGAATAAACAGGATCACCAGGATGACATAGGGCAACGTTGCGGTCACATACACAGCCTGGAACCAAGACGGTTACAAAGGTAGTAACAGTACCAATTATTGTTATTAGCATTATTATTATTAGTATCAGTATTATGTACTTACAGATTAAATAGTAATAGTAGTGCAGCAGAGAGGGTTCGGGTGATCCTGGCAGTAGTATTAGTCAGGCTAGTAGTAATAGTAATTATAGTAAGGCTCATCATCAGCTCAGGGCCCTCGTAGTAATAGCATTATAGCAGCCCAGACAGCGAATGGGACTTCTCCCAGGAAACGCTAGTAGTAGTTGAACCCACCAAGAACTTTCCGGAGAATATGAAGGCTCCCCAACACTGCAGCCTTCTGCATTTCCCAGAGTGTAATAGTAATTATGTAGTCCCGGTGGTAAGAACCTGGCACTCTCCTGATCTGTAATTATAAGAGATCAGGAGGTACCAAACCTAGGGCACCGAGAACAATGGGGAGCCTGACGACAGTGTACTTGGGATAATTAGCAAGACATTTCAAGTACAGTGGTCGTAGTAGGCTCCCCAGTATTAGCAGTAGTATTATTATTATTATTATTATTAGTAGTAGTAGTAGTAGTAGTAGTAGTAGTAGTAGTGGTAGTGGTAGTAGTAGTAGTAGTAGTAGTAGTAGTAGTAGTAGTAGTAGTAGTAGTAGTAGTAGTAGTAGTAGTAGTAGTAGTGGTGGTGGTGGTGGTGGTGGTGGTGGTAGTGGTGGTAGTAATATATGTAGTTGTAAGTGTAGTTGTAGTACTTCTAGAAGTACATGTAACAATCATAACTCAAGCCATGGAGATACAAGTTGTAGGTTGTCTCTCATATGATACTTCTATTGCATGGACCCATGAAGAGCCGGGTTAGAATCTGCCTTCAGGAACCCATGTTTGTCGTAAGAGGCGACTACCGTGATCGTGTTGTCAGGCTCGCTGACTTGGTTGACACATGTCATCATGTTCCATTTGCGTAGATCGATGCTCATGATGTTGATCATTTAAGTGTCTGGTCCAGACTCGATTATTTACAGACTGCCACCATAATGCTGAGTGCGGCGTTAAACAACAAACACAACAAAATACAGATGATAGAATCCCCATTCTGAGACAGAGTGACCTACCTTACCAGAAGATCTCACGCCTTTTACCACACAGATGAAGATGAGGAACCAAGAAGCGAGAAGACACAACGCCATCTCCCACTTGATAGATCCGGTGTGCTCGATACCTTCCGATATTCCGAGCGCCTTGAAGCTGAATGTATTATTTAACAAATTGTTAAACAACATCTTCAGCTGAGTTATAATGAGATTTGTGTTACTTCTATATAGACATTGTACCTGGATTCATAAACAGGTTGGTAGTGGGGTAGCCCAGTGGTTAAAGCGTTCGCTCGTCACGTCGAAGACCCGGGCTCGATTCCCCTCATGGGTACAATGTGTGAAGCCTATTGCTGGTGTCCCCCGCCGTGATATTGCTGGAATATTGCTAAAAGCGGCGTAAAACCATACTCACTCACTCAGTCTTAGTGGTAGGTAGATTTAGATTTTCGGATCATGCTTTAAGATCAGCGGTCGAGGTTTCGATGACCCTAATTCACTCCTTCACAAACAGGTATACCATTCTGGATACTTCCTCACACTTATTGTACAGAAATGCATCAAAAGCTATATGATTTGGGCATGTATTGCGATGCTTGAAGACAAGCATGGACACATAAGCAGGTGCACACTTTAATGTCCATACGTTGTACACCACGTAATATTCTATATTCGTCATGACAGGGATTGGCGAGTCTTCACTTACTGCCAAAATTCCTCTGCTGCCGTACGGAAAACATTGTTCAATTCACTGTCCTCCAGACTGGTAGTGTTTCCGTAACTTGTCTCGATGGTGTATGTTGCATTGAAGGTGTTGGTCTTATTCAAGCTTGTAGAATTAAACACTGCAAATCAAAGTCTTTAGTAGAATATCCCTGCACACGAATAAGCTTACTGGCGCACACTGGCGCACAATGGAAATACGTCTTTGTTCTAATGTACATGAAAATAGACACGCATGGCATTATCCGGTAATCTTCCTTTCTATAACAATTTATATATTTAATATCAAAGTACGTTTACAATTTGTTTTTATTTCAGAACATTGCACTAACATAAAAATGACAAATTTGAACTTAGGTCACAAACAACAGGGTTACTCTTTTATGTGCTTAATTAACATCTGATTTCTCATTGTTATGTTCTCTAAAATCAAAAGTAATACAAAGCATAAACTACTCTTAGGAATTATGGATTATTCATAGGTCGTGGTTGAATAAGCGAACACCATGTGGCGTACAGCATACATTCTACGATATCGTCTTAATACTGTGAAAGCAATGAGTGTGTGATCAGCAATCTGATCGCTTGAGACACGTTTTTCGATGAGGTTTGGCCCCGTAAATGATGTCGATAGATGTTTTGGTACCTAATCTCAACGGCGAAAACAAATTGTCAACAATTTCAAAATTATTTTTTGAGCATCTAATACCTAATAACATCCGCAGATTAGAAATCACATCATGTTTCTGTCTTACATATTCGTTGTTCCTCTGTTTTAATTATTCGCTGTTCCTCTGTCCTAATTATTCGCTGTTCCCCTGTCCTAATTATTCGACTATGTGATACCTCCATTTACTCTTTGATTCAATGCCTTGAAACCAGTGACACAAGAGTCAGTGTTCCACGTGTTGTTGCAGTTTGTCCAGGGGAGGATGTCACTGAAGGAGGAGATGGCGTAGTACATTGCCCACCCACAGATGACGTTCAGATAGACAGCAGAAACAACACACAGGATCAGCATACCGATACCAATACCTGCAAAATTAAACACGACGTAATACCTCGATGTATATACTACATATATCGGCTCAAAAAGGGTTAGAACTAATGATTTACGATGACATTGCATATGAGCGCAACATCTGACCACGATAGAATTCAACCTCATGGGTAAACAACACCTGGCCCCGATTTCTCGAAACAAACTTAAGTTTTTCTCAAATTTCCAACAGAGTTTGACAATTTGAAACAGCTGAATTTTTAACTCAACTGCATTTTTTAAATAAAAAAGCCCAAACAACTTAAGTAATCTATCCACCAAACTCAAATTGTCTACTAAGTTTGAGTTTAATATTGATTTCAGTTTATTCTGGAAAATGCATTTCCTGCGTTTTCTCAAATTTGAGTAAAAACTCTGCCTTCAGTCAAAACTGAGACTTAAGTTTGTTTCGAGAAATCGGGGCCTGATGCCCGTACGTGAATGGAGCCAAGGTTTACAGGGGAACTCACAATCACTAATCAATGTACAGGGTGCCATTTAACAAAACAAACTTAGCACTAAGACTACCTCAAGTCTATGTTAAAGGTCACATGCAACCAAAAAAATCAAACATAATTAAAACACAATTATCACTTATTCATGACACATAATATACATTGATGGTTATGAAAAAACATATAAACAAAATTATAAGCGTACAATCGCAAATCAAAAGTGCAATATTGTGTACTTGGGTTTACTTCCCAAGAAACGAAGCAGCCGGGATACCGAACCCAGTCAGAGCGGGTGGGTGTGCACTCAAGTGTAACGGCTGGTTCATTTGCGTATGCCCTCACGGCTCATTGTCTGTGTATATATCGAGATGTTGGGTTTTGTAAATACATGCTCATTTTTTGTGTATAACATTTTGCAATCAACAGACATCATAACATATCATGTGTTCAAATATCACACCTGCCTGTCTGTGTAATTACATAATGTGACAGAGACCGAACTCGGGCCATAAATCAATGCGTTTTGTTTATGGTGTATAGCCTGATTGGTGTTAAGTTCAAATTGCATGTGGTCAGTGATCGCAGTTGTGTATTGAATATTGTCATTAGCAGACAGGCAGGCAGACACACAGGTGTCAATAAAACAAGACATTGAGTTTTGTCTGTGACAACGACATATCTATATCACAGTTAGAAATTCTGTCAACGCTAAATAATGACATTGCTTTTAAGTATCGAACTGAGAAAGTGACTCGGTAAGAAGAACGTGTGGTGAAATAGACAAATGAAATTATATAAACAGTTTATTTACTGTCATAACATATAAAAAAGCTCGCGCCTGTGAGATATCAACAAAACATTAGGAAAATAGCTCACACCAAAGCCTTCACTGAGTATTCACCGGACAGCCCGCTTCCAAGTTGCGCGAACCTATTTCACTGCGCACGTGCTATGAGCGCAGCCCAGCTGTTGAATCCAGTTTTCCCCCGAAAAGTCGGGGGAAAATTAGTGAATCGTTTGAACTCCGATTTCGCGCGTTTTTTTTCATCGCGTTATTTTTCAACTTTATAAGTTGAATTTGCATTTTTTGATGATTTGTTTCGGCAAGTCCATACCGAAAGGTATCAGAATCTGCAAAGTTGTGTTTTACGTTGCATGTGACCTTTAAGGTATGGGAGTTACGGTCACCTTAGCGCTAAGACTACCTCAAGTCTATGTTAAGGTATGGGAGTTACGGTCACCTTAGCGCTAAGATCGCTTTGTACAACGGCACACTGATACATGATCCTATCAGAACACAGGGAAAGGGAAGAACTATGAAAAACCCGGAAGAGGGAACCTGACTTTTCATGCAGTGTATGTTATCAGGAAAGGACATGTTATGATATTTCAGATAATTGTACGTTTTTAAGTGCATCATTCCAATTGGTAACCTAGCAACAGTGAATTGTCCCGAGCTTTTGGTAACAACAAGGACATAGCTGGAAATTGTATTGACTTATTATATAATATAATATCGTGCCATGTCTAACATTGGATAGTAGTGACAAACCCTTCATCAGGGGACATAGGCCCGCATTGGATAGTAGTCACTAACCCTTCTTCAGGGGACATAGGCCCACATTGGATAGTAGTCACTAACCTTTCATCAGGGGACATAGGCCCACATTGGATAGTAGTCACTAACCCTTCATCAGGGGACATAGGCCCACATTGGATAGTAGTCACTAACCTTTCATCAGGGGACATAGGCCCGCATTGGATAGTAGTCACTAACCCTTCATCAGGGGACATAGGCCCACATTGGATAGTAGTCACAACCCTTCATCAGGGACAACCCTTCATCAGGGGACATAGGCCCACATTGGATAGTAGTCACTAACCCTTCATCAGACATAGGCCCACATTGGATAGTAGTCACTAACCCTTCATCAGGGGACATAGGCCCACATTGGATAGTAGTCACTAACCCTTCATCAGGGGACATAGGCCCACATTGGATAGTAGTCACTAACCTTTCATCAGGGGACATAGGCCCACATTGGATAGTAGTCACTTACCTTTCATCAGGGGACATAGGCCCACATTGGATAGTAGTCACTAACCCTTCATCAGGGGACATAGGCCCGCATTGGATAGTAGTCACTAACCCTTCATCAGGGGACATAGGCCCGCATTGGATAGTAGTCACTAACCCTTCATCAGGGGACATAGGCCCACATTGGATAGTAGCCCCATTCATCAGATATAGGCCCATTTCGGTAGGGACATAGGCCCACATTGGATAGTATTCACTAACCTTTCATCAGGGGACATAGGCCCACATTGGATAGTAGTCACTTACCCTTTCATCAGGGGACATAGGCCCACATTAGTCACTAACCTTTCATCAGGGGACATAGGCCCACATTGGATAGTAGTCACTAACCTTTCATCAGGGGACATAGGCCCACATTGGATAGTAGTCACTAACCCTTCATCAGGGGACATAGGCCCGCATTGGATAGTAGTCACTAACCCTTCATCAGGGGACATAGGCCATTGATAGTAGCATTGGATAGTAGTCACTGACCCTTCATCAGGGGACATAGGCCCGCATTGGATAGTAGTCACTAAACCTTCATCAGGGGACATAGGCCCGCATTGGATAGTAGTCACTAACCTTTCATCAGGGGACATAGGCCCGCATTGGATAGTAGTCACTAACCTTTCATCAGGGGACATAAACTCCACACATCAGGGACCACACATGTGAAGGACTCTTTCCTGAAAACTGTCCAAGGACCACTTCCAGGAAGAGCATTGGAAGGCCACACAATACCAGACATATGACGAAAGGAATCAGGAACGCCCCTGGAACAGCAGAACACCAATTTCTTTTTTCTCTTCAGTGTATTCTACATAGGCACAATGGAGCAAAGTAGTCATTACAGAACACACATTGACTTGTCATATGACATTAGCTTTGATTTAAAAAATAAATACAATTTTTTCTTTGTCAGAGCTTTCTCACGTTGTATTGTATTTGTTACCAACATTGTATTTTCATACTTTAGGTATTAAATTAATTAGGAATTGTTTGGCCAAGTATCTGCTATTTTTGCTGAAACATCTCCATTGCTAACAAACGCCAAGTATTTTTTTGTTAATTTAATTGACACACTACGGTAATGAATTCTTCAATCTAATCTCCAACTGGAATGTAAGGTCGGATCAGAGTACAACAATCAGAGAACAAAATATAGCTTCTATTATTACACAGGCAGAATCCGGTAAATGTTGATTATAAAATCATATCTTCAAAAATAAAAAGGCGTTATCTATGTCTAATATACGCTGTGTTGTTAGAATATTCCTTGAGGAAAGAAATGTGGCAACCTCCTCCATTTCGATTGCAGATGTAGGGAAACCGCCACACGTTGCCAAGAGCAACGCAGAAGCCAATCATGGAGAGCAGGTATTCTGTCTGTGATGCCCACTGCCCCCTTTCGTCTCGCCGGTTTTCATCCTTGGAGCTCTGTGAGTCTTGTAAATCAGACATACCAACTGACTGTTTGTCTCTCTTGTCATAATCTTGGATAGACTGCATTTCTGAAGTAAGGTAAATAACACTTCAGATTTGCTTCTTGTGTAATGTAATCCTTGCAGAGTATGTTACGCTAGATGTGTGTAATTTCACAAGGTATTTCCCGAAGACAATTCTGCTTCTTGCAAGGCTGTACAATAAATACACAATGCCGTTTAGAATACCTTCTCAGTAAGCTGTATGAGTGCCTTCGCTGACGTGAGAATCATGCTGTTAAATCCATATCCAGAACGTGTGCTGAGCGTATGGCAATATCAATTATAGTGTGTGACAGGCATACGCCACTATCAATTAAAGCGTATGTTTCTAGAGTCCCCATGATCGGAAAGCAGACTGGTGGAGACGATTACATATTGTCTGAGTGGAAACGTTAACATTGCTGATATTCCTCGGGTCATTTCTGAGTGTGGTGGCGGTCATGAAGCTGTGACGTCTTGCTGTAATCACAAGAACCCTACCTTCCCGTTGTGTGGTGGAACGCAATGGGCCACCTACATGTCGCTGGGTAGCTGATCCAAATGACTGGTAACGAATTCATGACTGGCGAAAAAGACCTTTGTGGCGTGACGTTGTGTTGACCCAGTTTCAAGCATGCCTATGCATCTACCTAGCTCAGTTAACTCGGTCTTCAAACGACGTCTTTAACGCTGAGGGTACATTAGTGCATTCAGGTGTTGCAACGATTCTGTCATGGAAAATCTAAACAAAGTGCTTAAGCAGATCGCGCTCATCGTGCCAATTACTTCATGCCTCTTTCCATTCACCATCGAACTGAGATCTAATGGGGTGGTTACCCAGTAATTGTATACAATGATATTTCAATCTTTGTTTGTAGGAAGATTTTATTTATTGCATCGAAATCTGTATCCGATTTCTCAAAAGAAACTTTTTTTCAAATTTCTGAGTTTGACAATTTGAAACAAGTTGAGTTTCTAACCCAGTTGCATTTCTAAGACCAAAAAAACACCCAGGCAAACTAACTCCAAACCTAAGTTTAATTTCATATCAATTTCAGTGTATTCTGCGAAATGCGTTTTCCCATGTTTTCTCAAATTTGAGTAAAATCTCTTCAGAAAAAAACTTGCTGACAGAGGTCCTCAGCAAAGTTCGAGTAGAATACTTTCCTGCAGGCCCAAAGTAGATAAGAGCATTTGTTAGTAGAGTCATAGCGAACTGGCTCACAACGACAGCCAGCGTGGTCTGTTGCATATACAAATATATACAAAATGTGATAGGATTTATGCAGATTCCACAAATGTAATTAATTAGCGGTGACTTGTCAGTATCGGTTTGCTGTGTTTCTGAAGCTCTACTATATACATGCGGAGACAAAAGTAAGTATATAAATATTTCTTCCATTTACATCCCAGTAAATACGTATGGGGGAAATAACCATCCCCATTTTAACATATATCACAATCACAGGTTACTATAAACTAGGGATAGTCGGTGGGGAGAACATACGACACACATGCAGTGTGTCAATCGATACCGTCACACTCAACCATAATGCTGCACTGGGTACTATTTGTTTCAATGTGACATGTTTCATCTTGTTATGATCATGCAACTGCAGATGTTTAATCCAGCACATCAGTCCTTGAATTTAAAGTGTGAAATCGAAGAAATGATTTAAGATTTTAATAGGAAAGTTTGATTTTGGTGCGGCCATCCAATTCAATGCGACTATGTTATGATGAACTCTAACTGATTGTTTGTGTGTAGTTAATCTTTCGTCTCAACCATTTGACCTGCTTAAGGACGGTAAATAGCCAAACCAGTAAATAATTGAGGCTAGTTCAGACAGGTGATGATACCATGAACATCGATCCTCAAATTCAGGAAATAATGTCATGCAGTGACCCGAGTCATCGAGCCGACCGATCCTCTTAGTTGGTCTCACATAGAAACACAACGAGGCACACTGAAGTATATTGAAAACTAACTGTCGCCTTACTCAAAAACAGTCCAGACGTCAACGAAAATGTTGGAAGTTAATTATGATTGTCCAACATGGCAACACATTTCCTCTATGGCAGTTGGTGGTCCAGAAACAATGTATGTGAATGGAGACGACAAGACCTGTATTGTTTCAAGGTGGTTAACATTGGAGAAAGACAGTGCAGAAATGAGACAGGCACAAAAATACTGTAGTTTCTTCAAGCTGATGACTCGGTACAGACACTGAAAATGACAATACTCACTGAATTGGCAGGTAGCTTGAGAAGGGAGCTAACACGGCTTTAAACCACTGGCGAAAGTTATGTCCATTGTTCTTCGAAGTGTTTTATTAGCATAACTAAACAACTGCCCTTGGGCAATTATTTCTATTTAACAACAATATAATTGTACTCATTTTGATAATCTTCGTCGTGCTTAATACATTATACGCGTATTAAATAAGTATGCCCTCGTGGTGTAAGCCGTTTAATCACCCCCAATACTATAGTTATTTAACTCGACCTTGTAAGGGTGATTAACCTATACTTGCCTCAAGGAAAGCTTGTTGGAGAGTTGAGATGACCTCTCCGTGATCAAGCGGATAGAGCGTCTGCCAAAAGAGCTGAAGGATTCCCGGCCGCGTCATGCAAAAAACAACAATTCCCTGCCGCGTCATGCCAAAAACCCAATGCCTTTATACCTGGAAATACAGCAGTGAAACAAGGATTGGCCAATTCGGACAATTTTCCGAGTGGGGGTATCAGTGTCTGAGGGTTGTAGCACTTAGTCTATTAGACATCGTCATCAATCGGACAAGTACAAGCAATAGAGACAGGCACAGACAAGTGCACGCACGTCGCTAATCACCATAAAGTCTGCGAAAAATGGCGGTTTCAGTGTGACACGACTTGCCTCATTTGAAGGTGGTTCGAGAAGACAGGTAATAATAATGTTATGTTGCCAGAGAAATATAAACGGACACTTCACCCACTTATTCCATTATCATTAGATCGTGACAGATAAAATATTGGATATTAGTTATGAAATTGCAAGATGGAATATAATTCTTCTTTGTAAGTCAGAAGAATGAATAATCATTTATTAAGTGAGTAAGACGCGTATATGGTGAAAAATATTAAAATGTCTCTCTGAATCTAATATGGTAAATCAGCTGATGTTCATGTTGGCTGACATCACTCATATTAAACTTCGTGTAAGAGAAAGTTACGTTGGAAGAACTGACACTTGTTTTGTTTTCATCTAAGATTACGTTTCTAATGTTCTAACATACGCCTGCTTCATTTCTTGATGTTATCTGGCAAATCCAAATCATGGAAGCATGCGATAGTAGGAACCACCGAACGATCCGAATATAACTGGCATCTATCCTTTCTAACAAAAGGAAAAACTCATCACCATAACTTATATCATCATCTTCAACGATATATTATTGGATTCAAGGATCTTCGGCGTGACGAGCGAACGCTTTACCCACGAGGCTACCCCACCGCCCCACACCTCCTAGTAGAATGTCAGTGGCTTGACCTACTTACTTTCTTGTAAGTGAGTGAGTGAGTTTAGTTTTACGTTGCTTTAAGCAATATTCCAACAATATCACGGCGAGGGACACCAGAAAATGGGCTTCACACACCATTGCACGCATGTAGGGAATTAAACCCGGGTCTTCGGCGTGACGAGCGAACGTTTTAAACACTAGGCTACCCCACCGTCCCACACATACAAAGTGGATGCTATGTGATGAAAATGATCTCACAGCGGTAGCCATCGCAGCCGGAAAAGGATTGATTTCTGAAAGAATTGTTTTGAAACATCGGAAAAAATGTTTGACGCCAGGTTGACACAAAGCAAACAGTTAAGTGGGCGTGCTAGGTTGTGTAAGTAATAGTTATTGCCATAGTTTCCGAGTTGTTGTATCGGCAGATATCAGGACAGTTTAGTCCGTGGGGCCCTCCAGTTTTTGTCAATGAAATCTGTAGTACTATGAACGTTTTCTCAAGTGATTTGATTGGCTCATCCAAAATGCACGAGCATCGCGCTCCTGCACGTGCAATATTCAGGTATAAACGCAGAACGTATACCGAGTTCGATAAGGCTAGAGACGAGTTGTTGTCTCAAATTGACTTTGAGGACCGAGAAGACTTTGAACTTACATCTAGTCAAGAGCCACGGCGCTTTAGTGAACCTGTGACTGGTGAATTTATCGAAGCTTTGCATCAAAATCGGATTACTCAAAATACACAACGGAATACTAAATGGTGCGTAATTTGTAAACATCTACGACTCGTGGGCGAAAAACAGAAACACACGAATACCTCAACAAGATACAGCTGCAAGTGAGCAGTATGTATTTGTACCTCCTCTCTTTGCTGAAGTTCCCTCAGACGCCCTCGACTACTTCTGGATGTGTGGCTGTATTTGTGAATTTAAACGACAAGATGGAACCGTGTATCCCGCACTGTCGGTCAAAAATATTTGTATCGGTATATGGCGCTACTTGCGTAACGTTTGTAAGAGACCAGATCTAAACTTCATGGATGTGCATAACCACGAATTCACTAACTTTCGTGCCACCCTTGATGGTGTGATGAAACAAATCAACCAAAAGGGTATTGGACTCTCTTCATGCAAAGCACAGCCTGTCACGCCTTTAGAAGAAGTTTCTGAGACTTATTGTGGTGTGTTACATGCAGTTTACTTCTACAACTGCAAAGTTTTTGAATAAGGGCAGTCGATGAACACGCCAATCTGGAAGTCAGTCAATTTGAGTTTGGCCGATATTCTGTTGGAGAATACGTGCGATTCATTGGACGTGTCACGAAAAATCAGGGCGGGCTGAAGCTGTGTGGACAGATTTAGTTCAAGTAAGTATTTTCCATACAAATATACTGAGATAGAAAGGAACGCAAATTCAGTCGTAAATATAACTACAACTTAAAATAAAATCATCTCTTCCTATGTTCATAATCAATTTTAGCCGGCGAAAGGTAGTTTGCGTGAAAAACTCATTGGTAAATCTATAATTAGCAAAATAAGTATTTTCGTTTCGACAGTGAAAAAATAGATCACTGCCAAAGCATCAATTGAAGTATATTTATACGATTTTAGTCGCGAGGAGTGAATATTAAGTGTTTGTTCGTTTCAGGGATATCAAGCAATACGCCCAACCTGACAACCAACGATGTTTTGTGGGACTTCTTAAGACCTACTTGGCAGCAATACCGGCCGAGGGTCCTTTCTACAGACGACCTCTTGTAGCCAAGGACGGAAAGCTGCGATACTCACAACAGAAAGTTGGGGTACACATATTGCTGAAAATGTTCAAGACAATGTGCAACGAGGCAGGTCAATATGGAAGATTTACCGACCATTCAGGAAAGGTACAATTAATTCGATTTCATGACTTTTTAGTACATGAAACGCTAAGTAGTGAAATATACTGAACAAAACCAATTAAGGACCATCCCAAAATCCAATACTTAAGTGTTATGTAGATAATAATATGAACTTTTAAATACATTGATATTGAAAATTGGAATGGTCATTAACCTGTTTTTCGCTTAGTATACAAACAATGCCTGTTTAAAAAACGTTTTGCTACTTTAACTCCGAAAACTGATTAACCAGTAAAAGTGTTCTCGTAAATTGTAACATTGGTGTGCCAATAAAACATTTGTATTTTCTCTTAAAGCAAAATATTAATTTCTTTTTTCAGGTCACTTTAGCGACAACCCTTTTCAACGCCAAGGTTAACGAGGAGCTCATCACGGCGAGAACAGGCCACAGAAGCAATGCTGTGAGGGTTTACAAGCGCGCCCCTGAGGAAATCAACAAGGAAATATCAGACAAACTCCACCCACCTCCACCTGTCAGAACGAAAACAAGCTGATGTCAGAATCTACGATGTCGATGACGGCGACGGTGGCGACGACGGCAACCAGAAGTCACATTCCAAAAATGTTGTTATTCAAATATTAAAAACCAGATGGAACATCCTTGGAAATCTTATTCTAAGTAGCGTTGAATAACTGATAAATCGTCTTGACTTTTCTGTTCGTTAGAAAGTTATGGTCGTTGACTGAGTCAAGATGTTTTCAATTCAGTTTGAACTGATATCTTTGGCAATGTGAAAATAAAACTCATTTTCAGTTTCCACATCTTGATGACGTCACGATATAGCTTAATGAAGATTTTCAAAAGTGTCCTTGTATCTGATATCAGGACACTTTCCGACAAAGAGTCCTGATATCGATAATTAACAGGACACTTTTATGAATGGGTGTCCCTGGCAACGAGGTGTTAGTGGGATGTAATGCTGACTTACACATACCCACACTAGAATTCTCTTTCAGCGTGCGATCGATCAATTCTGTCTCCTCTCTGAAACTGCGATCAAGGCGTTAAAGCATGTCCATAGATATCCACATAGGGTGACTTGTTCCTTGGGGTAATATTTCCCGAAAGGGAAGTTCATTTAAACTTTTCACATTAAAGCCAGACGTATAGACCTTGTATTCAGTACCCTCTTATGATCAAAGTGTTAACACAAAACAACAGGTATGCTCAAGAGACGTTCGAGTCTAAATTATGAAGCTGCATGATGTAATGCAGTTGGTTGGAAACATGGGACTGTTACTGAATTGTCAGACTGTCTGAATGATGATGGTGTCTGTGTCGGTTGTGAACGCTGTTCAAGCAATTTGGTTGCTGCAAAGTATTTCATTGTTAGCCGGTGCTCAGAATCTCGCAGGTAAGGTTAAGATATATTCACTTTGTCACATTTTAATGTTGATTAAAAACGTCATGACTGATTTTTCAGAGGATGAGAAAATATGACATCACGAGGCATGGACTTAACTGTGTAAAACTATAGATACAAGTGATGACCACACAAATGAAGTGAAGTGGATCGTCAATCATATCCAGGATGAGAGTAAAGTCGTGCAAATAACCTGAAATACTTTATTAAATCCATATCAAAATCCCATTATTGATAAAATCATCCCCCGAGAGCTCCTCGACCATCGCCTAGCATTAGTGAGCCGTCCGTACGCCTTTACCCAGTGTTTGGCTGTTTACATCCAGTGGAATCTAAACTAGTGCTAGAAAATAAAGTACATGTATACAGTGTGTTTGACCAAATTTGAAAAGAAACGAAAAGCATACATGCATGAAAATCTGTTTAATTTCAGTAGGGTATTCAATTCTGCAGCAAATGTACATAATTTCATTTCACACAAAGTCGAAAGTACCTTTGGAATGACACTGAAAGACTTACACTTAGCCAAATCAACAATCAACAAGCCGGTTTTTTTCTGTAAAATGTCATCAAATGTGAATAGTGAGTGCGTCACTATTGGCTTCAATACACACCACAACACGTCGACGCGTTGATGACGTAAGACGACGAATGGCGTTAGCGGTGATCCGTTGTCATTCCTGTAGGAGACATTGTTCCAGTTGTTTAGCGGTGACAGGTGGTAGTCTTCTGATTTGTTGATCCGGGTAGTCCCATAAGTTTCCTATAGGAATCATGACAGGAGAACATGCTGGCCACGGCAAAACAACGATGTTAGCGTTATGCAGAAAGTCGTGTGTCAGTCTTGCTGTATGAGGTCTTGCGTTATCGTATTGGTAGACAATGCCACGTGGTTGTTGCTGGCTAAATGGCAACACATGTGATCGCAAAACTTCATCCCTGTATCTTCGAGCATACAGGTTGCCATGAATAATCACACGTCTCGTTTTGAGATCGCCGCACAACGCTCCCCATACCATCAAGCCACCGGCTCCAAACGGTCGGACTTGCTGAACGCAATTCGGCGCTAAACGTTCATCTTCTCGTCTGTAAATACGTGCCCGGACGTCATTACTGTACAGGCAAAACCTGCTCTCGTCGGTTAACATCACACGTCGCCAGTCACGCATCTGCAAACGTCAAACTCACCTGATAGACCCATGTCAATTGACGACGTCGGTTTTGAAGAGTCAGATGCACTCCGCGGTAGGGTCGACGCGCTCGAATACCATGTTCTCTTCGTCGCCGGTACACTTTTATCTGTGTCGACTGATACGGTGTCCTAGTGCCGTCGCTGCCGTTGACGTCGCCGTTACAAAACGATTTCTCGGATGAATTGTCCGGATGTGACGATCATCACCGGTCGACCACTCCTAGGTCTGTCTGATGTATTGCCTGTTTGTCTTAGTCGTTGCATCAGTCTGATGACAGCTGCTCGGGTGCAGCGGAAGGGTCTGGCAATCACGGTGTGGTTAGCTCCTTGTTGGGCCATTCTGACAGCTCTCTCTCTCTTTCGAACTGCCTTTGACGTGGCACATGTTTGTGTTCTTATTACTACTGTGTTGCTCACGTGTTGCGTAGGCTGTTTTATACCGTCAGTATGCTCGCGCATTTCGTGTTACATCAGAAAAAGTCGTTTTGGATTTTTGTCGACGTATAGGAGATTCGTTAACTTGTTTCGCCGTTTGCTCCCCTGTATGGTTTTATCAGTTCAATCATATTGTTATGAATTTTTATGTAATTTTTTTGCGGTGAATAGTTTCTTTTGAGCACTAGTTTATTTCGACAGACACTCAAAACTGAATAATTTCTGGTGTTGGCGATTACACTCTTTGGCAAATTCTAAATAAACTGTGACCCGGGAAAATCCGGGTTAGAATTGATCTTCAGTAACCCATGCTTGTCGTAAGAGGCGACTAACGGGATCGGATGGTCAGGCTCACTGACTTGGTTGACACATGTCATCGCTCCCCAGTTGCATAGATTAGATCGATGCGCATCATGTTGATCACAGGGTTGTCTGGTCCAGACTCGATTATTTACAGGACGCCGCCATATAGCTGGAATATTGCTGAGTGCGGCGTAAAACTAAACTCACTCACTCTAAATAAAGCGTACAAGAACACTGTGAATATACCACAGGTACACGAACATCCTTCTATAAGTCTGATTGTGTGAAAAAGACGTCGTCTAAATAAAGCGTACAGCTGAGTTCGCTAACAAAAGAAAAGGAAACAATTAATGTCGGGAACAGCAACGTGTATTTGGTTATCTTATTTATTGCATTGTCGTTGGGAATATTTCCTCCGTTGTGTTATAGAGGTTAGTCTGTCTCACAGTCCCTGATCCACGTTATTTTCCATACTGACTAACCCTCCCAGCAACGATAAAGCCATAAATGAAGCATAAATGAATCTCCCATTTCCCCTGGGCTCCTTTTCCTCTAGGGTTTATTTGGTACCGTCACCATTATAATATATTCAGAGACTAAGCGTTAGTCGATATAGAGGTGTGTTTAGATGCTATACCATATGCTGTACTCTCCGGGGGAGAAAGGTTATAGGGTATGGATTAGATGCACCCAATACTTGTCGCTAGAGGCGATGGATCGCATTTAGAGTGAGTGAGTGAGTTTAGTTTTACACCGCTTTTTAGAAATGTTCCAGCAATATCACGGCTGGGACACCAGAAATGAGCTTCACACATTGTACCCATGTGGGGAATAGAACCCGGGCCTTCGGCGTGACGAGAAAACACTTGAACCACTGGGCTACCCCACCATCCCTCCCACTTAGAACAGGTCTTCAGCAACCAATGGTTCTTGTTGCGAGAGGCGACTAATGGGATCGGGTAGTCAGGCTTGCTTTATTTAATGATGAATGTCATTGTATCCCAATTGGGCAGATCGATGTTCATGTTGTCAGTCACTGGATTGTCTAGCCCAGTCTCGAGTATTTGCTCACCTCCGTGATATAGCTGAAATCTATCAAAGGAATGTCTAGTTGAGATTGTTCAGACAGAGTGATATGGCTTAAATATTGCGGCATTAAACAACCCAAATTCCAACACGCATTTGGCCGAATCCTGTTAGCCGTTTGTGCCATGAAATTCCAATTTTGTCTAAGCCTAAACATTCCAGGAGTTTGAACAAAACAGTAATGGGATTATGTAGATAATTCTCATGTCTTTATGGTCAGTTTTACCACCTTACGAGTTGTACACATCTAATTGCAAATGTTTTATTAGTCGCACTGGTAGCTTATGCGCATCCCTCTGTCCTGGTAACTATATCACTCCCATTGGTTTAGTATTTAGTCTGCTTCTGGTGTTATTTCACAAAACATGATTCTGGTTATTACCAGAGGTATTTACACGATTTGTTCGCCTGAAGGTACTATAGACAGATTTAAGGGGTAATTCCACCGTGGTCATTCCTCTCTAACTTACCGAGCCGTGGGTACTCGCTCTTTAGCGCTACCTTGCATCTTGTCGACTGTTTCCCCAGACACTGGCTTTTAAAAAAACCCTGTATTTTGATAATAGCAATTACACCTTTGCCAACCCAATCAGGTTGTATATTTTCTCATGTTATGTAAGTCAGTGATTCTTTGTCTGAGCATCCTTTGTCTGGTATATCAATCAGTGATTGTTTGTCTGAGCATCGTTTGTCTGGTATATCAATCAGTGATGCTTTGTCTGAGCATCCTTTGTCTGGTATATCAATCAGTGATTCTTTGTTTGAGCATGCTTTGTCTGGTATATCAATCAGTGATTCTTCGTTTGAGCATCCTTTGTCTGGTATATCAATCAGTGATTCTTCGTCTAAGCATCCTTTGTCTGGTATATCAATCAGTGACTCTTTGTCTGAGCATCCTTTGTCTGGTATATCAATCAGTGATTCTTTGTCTGTGGATACTCTGTCTGATATACCAAACAGTGATTCTTTGTCTGAGCATCCTTTGTCTGGTATATCAATCAGTGATTCTTTGTCTAAGCATCCTTTGTCTGGTATATCAATCAGTGATTCTTTGTCTGAGCATCCTTTGTCTGGTATATCAATCAGTGATTCTTTGTCTGTGGATACTCTGTCTGATATACCAAACAGTGGTCCCTTGTCTGAGCATCCTTTGTCTGGTATATCAGTCAGTGATTCTTGTCTGTGGATACTCTGTCTGATATATCAATCAGTGATTCTTTGTCTGAGCATCCTTTGTCTGGTATATCAATCAGTGATTCTTTGTCTGTGGATACTCTGTCTGATATACCAAACAGTGGTCCCTTGTCTGAGCATCCTTTGTCTGGTATATCAGTCAGTGATTCTTGTCTGTGCATCCTTTTGTCTGGTGTATAAATCAGTGGTTCTTGTCTGTGGATCCTTTTGTCTGGTATATCAATCAGTGATTCTTGTCTGTGCATCCTTTGTCTGGTATATAAATCAGTGATTCTTGTCTGTGGATCCTTTGTCTGGTATATAAATTAGTGATTCTTGTCTGTGCATCCTTCGTCTGGTATATAAATTAGTGATTCTTGTCTGTGGATCCTTTGTCTGGTATATAAATCAGTGATTCTTGTGGTTTAAACATATTTATTTCATGAAAAAGCAAAGACAGAATTTTCATGAACTGGATTGGTCAACAAGCTCGAAAGAACTTATATGAAGACCGCTCCAATATACATAGATATATGAAACAGTATCATAACAAGAAAAGATGATATCTAAAATGAAAGTAGATGGTATGACATGTAGTCAGAAACTTAAAATCATGATGGTTGTATACATTCATGGCATCTGCAGTCGGGATCCATAGTAGTATAGCTTTGAGAATTATAGGTTTTAGTGTATGGCTTGCTCAGTTAAAGCGCCTAGTTTCAATTGTAAATAGATGGACTGATTTTAAGATATGTGATTGAATTTGCTGGTCCATGGAAGACGTTCCGTATAAGATTGTTTCTAATGAAAAGCCATTGGTATAATAAAATTTATTTATTCTTACAGCATCAAATCTGGGACATACAAAGAAATAATGACGTGCATCTTCATTAGGGTGGCCACACAAACAATCTGCTCTCTCTGATATATGTCTGTAGCGTTTGTCAGCGTTGAGATCGCTACATCCTAACCTTAAGCGACAGTGGAGGATTTGACAAACTCTTGATCCTATATTTGGATTGAAATGAATGTCTTTAGCTCTATGACTTAAAGCAGATTTAAAATCATTGATGTCTGTAAGAGATTTAATATTTTGCGGTAAAGCATTCCATAAACTTACAGAGTCCGGTAGAAATGAATTGTCATATAGAGCAGTACGGCAGGCAATAGTTTGCAAATGCGATGCGTTACGTAAGGGATAGTTACTGACTTGAGAGACGAAGGGAGGGACGAGTTCGTTTAGATAGTGGGGTAATCTGTTATGATACATTTTGAAAAATGTGATTAGTTTAGCTATTCTTCTTCTTTCGCGAAGAAGTGATTCTTGTCTGTGGATCCTTTGTCTGGTATATAAATCAGTGATTCTTTTCTGTGCATCCTTCGTCTGGTATATAAATTAGTGATTCTTGTCTGTGGAACCTTTGTCTGGTATATAAATCAGTGATTCTTTGTCTGTGGATCCTTTGTCTGGTATATCAAACAGTGATTCCTTTCTGTGGATCCTCTGTCTGGTATATCAAACAGTGATTCCTTTCTGTGGATCCTCTGTCTGGTATATCAAACAGTGATTCCTTTCTGTGGATCCTCTGTATTGTATATGAAACAGTGGTCCTTTGTTTGTGGATACTTTGTCTGGTATATCAGTAAGTTGTCCTTTGCCTGTGGATCCTCTGTCTGGTATATCAATCAGCGATCCTTTGTCTGTGGATCCTTTGTCTGGTATATCAAACAGTGATTCCTTTCTGTGGATCCTCTGTATCGTATATCAAACAGTGGTCCTTTGTTTGTGGATACTCTGTCTGGTATATCAAGCAGTTGTCCCTTGCCTGTGGATCCTCTGTCTGGTATTTCAATCACTGATCCTTTGTCTGTAGATCCTCCGTCTGATATATCAATCAGCGATTCTTTGTCTGTGGATCCTCTGTCTGGTATATAAAACAGTGATTCTTTTCTGTGGATCCTCTGTCCGGTATATCAAACAGTGATCCTTTGTCTGTCCACATGAGATCCTTTGTCTGCCATATCAAACGGTGATCCTTTGTCTGTGGATCTGGTATATCAATCAATGATCCTTTGTCTGTGGATCCTCTGTCTGGTATATCAATCAGTGATTCTTTGTCTGTGCATCCTTTGTCTGGTATATCAATCAGTGATTCTTTGTCTGTTGATCCTTTGTCTGGTATATCAATCAGTGATTCTTTGTCTGTTGATCCTTTGTTTGTTATATCAAACAGTGATCCTATGTCTGTGGATCTGGTATATCAATCAATGATCTTTTGTGTGTGGATCCTCTGTCTGGTATATCAGTCAATGATCGTTTGTCTCTGGATCCTCTGTCTGGTATACCAAACAGGGGTCCTTTGTCTGTGGATCCTTTCTCTGGTATATAAATCAGTGATATTTTGTCTGTGTATCCTTTGTCTCGTATATCAGTCTATGATCCTTTGTCTCGTATATCAGTCTATGATCCTTTGTCTTGGGCCTTGATCTTGGGCCATGCAGTTTTATAAGTGTAGCCGATTACGAATCTGTGAAGATCATCTTTAATTTAAGAGGCACTTTCACCATGGTCGTTCTCATGAAATCCTTAAAAATGAAATTATATTGATTTTGTTCATTGTTTCAGAGATGGTCTGTCCAGTGGATGTACCAGATGGGTACTCTGTAGTCGGGAGGACAACGTACCCACACTGGGTTTACTTCACCTGCCAAGGATGCAATGGCCAAGAAACCTGGGGGAGTTCTCAATGTAAACATGATGGCACACGGGACGAATTAATATTACCTAATTGTACAGGTAGGTATGTTTGTTTGTTTGTTGTTTAACGCCACAATCATCAATAATTCAGTTATATAACGTCGGTCTGTAAATTATCGAGTCTGGATCAGCCTTTCCAGTGACCTACAGCATGCGCATCGATCTAATCAATTGGGATACGATGACATGTGTCAACTAAGTCCAAGTCGCCATTTGGGATGCTGATGACCAATTGTATGGGATCGTAACGGGTCAGATGACGTCAACCGTGGGATTACTAATGGCGCTACTGGGCGGTGGGTTAGCCTAGTGGTTAATGCGTTCGTTCGTCACGCCGAAGACCCGGGTTCGATTCCCCACATGGGTGTAATGTGTGAAACCCATTTCTGGTGTCCCCTGCCGTGGTATTGCTGGAATATTGCTCAAACTAAACTCACTCACTCATGGCGCTACCGCTACACAGTTTCTTCCAATCAGTGTGCACTCACATTTCACACTGAAATCTATGAGTTATAAAGCTTCGCAGCGGAGACAATTAGTGCAAGATAGATTAGCCATATAGGTGTTTCCTGGTTTACATTGGTTCTCAGTTGTATGTACATTTGGAATCTTTTTCTCTTTTCCAGTTTCGTGTCATAATAGTGAGATGCCCTATAGATGTAAGCCTTGGGTTCTACAAGATTGTGAGTTCAGACCCGATATTTATTGGGAGAAATGTGGGCGGTCATGTGATACCCCGGCACTCTGTCACGGTAAGTGTCACAGTATTTACTCTCTGTCAAGACGGTAGGCATTTTCTTCGAAGGTGTCGCGATTTGTAGTTCGAACCCCTGTTTCTAGGTTTGTCAGTACCTAACCCGTGCTGGTGAGTTTCACCAAAGTGGTAAAAGTCTAAGACCAGGGCCCCGTTTCACAAAGCTATCGTAGAGCTAAGATGAACGTAACTCCCATACTTTAGCATAGACGTACAAAGGTACGATCGCTTTGAGGAGGAGGACCCTGCTTCACATAGGGCTGTCCTCCCAGATTAAAGCTGAGAAGGCGTGATGTAAATGGAAAACCAGTGTTAAACCCATATCACTGACTCATTAGAACCATAAATACTGAAAGACGTTTCAAGGAGAAAAAAGGTCAGGGGATGTTAACCTGGGTTTATTCTGAACGATTGTCTACGGGATGTCATAAACGGTCCTCTGTTGACCCGTGAAGGATTGATCTTCAGTAACCCATGCTTGTCGTAAGAGGCGACTAACGGGATCGGGTGGTCAGGCTCGCTGACCTGGTTGACACATGTCATCGGTTACCAACTACGTTGATCGATGCTCATACTGTTGATCACAGGGTTGTCTGGTCCATACTCGATTATTTACAGACCGCCGCCATATAATTGGAATATTGCTGAGTGCGGCGTAAAAATAAATTCACTCACTCACTCACTCACTCATTACAATTATGTTGAAGGGGGGTCAGGCGAGTCAGACTGTCAGTGCGGCCAGTATGCCCAGAATGGACGATGTGAAACCGACGCTAACATCCGGGACACTGTTTGCCCTTACACCTGCTCCCGTAGAGCTCGTAAGTATAGCTTTATGCCCTTATGCTAATACAACCATAAAATGAAAGACAACACTGTATAGGATCCACAACTCAATATTCTGGAGGTGTCTCGGGTTTGTATGGGCCCCGTAAGACTCGCTAGGCGCTACTTCCGGTAACAGATTTCGGGTGACATGCATATATTCAAGGACCAGTTCCGGTTCCAAATTGCGCGACCGCAAAATATGACTTCACTAGATTGGACCAAGTGTACTACCACGCTCGGCTGCACAGCTGTTGACAGGTATACACGTGCTATTCATGCAACATAGTCCGCCAGTTTTTGAAGCCTGTTGCATGTCACACTTTCCTGAATCAGACAGCGTGTGTCGGGTATGACTAGCCAGGACATGTCCCTTGTAACATTCCTATCGTCATTGCCGTAAAATGTTGTTTTTCACCGGAAGTATATATATATAGTCTTTATTCATGTGAATGTAGGCCATCGGCCCATGGTACAACGTTATACATTAACAGCCTTCAAGCTGTAGCGACGACGATTGTTAGCATAGAAGATAAACAAGGCAAGACTTCTTAAAACCAGAGGAGTAGCATTACTCATCAGTCGATTAAGTTTACACAAGGTTGGATGGGTGAAAACATCGACAGGGATAAAACGTTTACGTAGATCATCATAGGCAGTACAAATCAGTAAGAAGTGGTACTCATTTTCTACATAGTTACAGGAACACATTTTACACAATCTTGACTTTTTTGGTTTCTTTATATATCTACCAGTTTCCATATTCAGTTGGTCTGAACTACACCTGAACCTCGCTAAGGCAATACGAAATTTCTTGATAGTTATGCAATGGAGATATGGCTCAACACCAAAAATTAATTTAAATTGAGAATATAGGTAAGTTTTTGAGCCATTAGACAACGAGGAATGCCATTCCTGTAAATATGTGCTTTGGGCTCTAGATATGAATTCAGAAATAAAAAAGGTTTATATTAGGAATAAATTGATTTTCAAAACCAAAACCAAAACCCATTGTATACAATAGGTTTTTTTAATTTTGATGTCAAGTTAATTTTACCATTTGAAGCATCTAATAGTAATAAATTGTAACATTTCTTAGGGAAACGTATAGAAGGCATATTTAACAGTTTGTACCAATTCATTATACAGCGTTTGTACGCAAAATATACAGTGAATTACAGTGACAGTCTAGACCCAATACTTCGGCACCATAAAGCAACATAGGCATTACTTTAGTGTCAAAAATTCTGAAGAAGACATCACATTTCATGTGCTCGAATTTTGATAAACTTTTCAAAATACCGAACAAAGCCTTTTTTGGATTGTAAAATAGAGCTCTCAAAATGTTTATGCCATGACAATGTTTGTGAAAATACTATTCCCAAATATCTAAATGAAGAAACGCACTCAATTAATGTACCTCCAAGATACCATAATTCGTGCTTAGTAAGGATACTACCATTTCTAAACACAACAATTTTAGATTTATCTAAGTTGACATATAGCTTATATTCCTTGCAATGCTGTTCAAGGACAATCATACGTTTTTGTAGCCCGTAGATGGTGTCAGAGAATAGAATTACATCATCAGCAAATAGAAGGAGAAACAACTGAGTTAATTCTGGGTGTAACTGAATGCCCGGATAACACAACGATTCAATACTATCAGCTACATCGTTTATAAAAATGGAGAACAAGAAGGGACTCAAGATACATCCTTGACGAACTCCAATATTACAGTCGAACAACTGTGAAAAAGAATTATAGACTCTTACGCAAGATTTAACACAACTATAGATGGATTTGATGCAACCTAACATCTTGGGTGTTAATCCTTTCTGTTGCAAAACTAACCATAATTTCGATCTATTTACCAAATCAAATGCTTTCGAAAAGTCGATGAAGAGAGCATACAACTTACCCTTTTTCGATAGAATTCACCGGTAGTAATAAAGTCTCGCAAAGTACCGCGACCTACTTATGGGCCCTATTGGGATATTGTGAGTTTTACAGTTTACTTTTGATTCAAAGGCACAATGTCACATATTTTCGACAATATTTTGGCCTATATTATATATATTGGGGCATATGCACTCACTTTAGCTTCCTATTTATGCAATAAAAGACTTATCCATTGCGACTTGACTGAAATCGATACTTGTAACTTCGAGGCGAACACATTCAATTTTTTCAATTTAATATTGTAATTTAATATTTTTGGAATAAATTATTGGTAGCTTCCCTGAGAAATGGTATTTAGTATTATTGAGAGACATGCATTATTTATTTTTAGAGAAGTGTGCCTTTAAAGTTTGAGGACATATTATTGCTACGCTTCTGTAAATCACCCAGCAACAATACATCCACCTTCCAGACTGTCAAATGCTTAGCTCCCTAATTATGGCTATAACAAGTAGACTCACAACGGAAAGAAACTCTGCAGATATGACCAAAAGAAACTGTTACTGGCTCGTTCTCTTCTCAGAAAATGGACCTCAGATCAAGTCTTACCATAACCTTGAAGACAAACACAAGATAATATAGCTCCCTGTTTGAATGGGCTGTTTAGTCTGTGTCAATTTTTAGGGTGACTTGCGATAACTAAAATAAAAAATCAGACATTGTACTTTATTTCAAATTACAATCTGCACATGGTATTGACTCCAGTCTCCCATAATTTGACCCCAAGTTCAAGGTCGCTTTCGACTCGAAACTTCCGGTAGCTATTGTTTACAGCGGATACTCCAAACCTGAGATCCAGCCCGGTATTCAAGTGACAGATTGGTAAGCATGCAACAGGAGAACAACATCCGACTGAAATAAGTTATGGTGACATGTCGCTGTATATAGCAAAGAAGCTCTCACAAACTTGGACTTTTCACTGGATTATTGTACAATTTGATTCTACAAAGTTGATCATATTGTACATGATTATTTCCTTCACATATTGGTGCAATTTTTGAGACTTTGGGGACTGAAATGTGGATTTTGTGCATAATGTTCTCAGTCATAAAGGTTGATTCTGTTGTCAACTTGAGTTCACTACCAATCAAGGGTAAAGGCCTTCAAAACCCAAGCTGACTCGGCCATTGTAACAATGACCAATCAGTCAACAATAGCCTACACCAGGGAGACTCTGCTTGCCATTGGTTAAAAGTGTTCAAGTGCACATCTTGGAACAACTGCCAAGGGACCTAGCTCTGAACTACTTCACCATCTGAATAATCTAGACAGGCTCTCGAATGGCTTAGACAGATTTAGTTCTGTGGTTTTAAATCATTTTAACACTCTGTCATCTGAACCTACTGCTTTTTTATTGAATGAGTATTTCATGTTTCAGAAATGAAAGTGATTACTTAAGGTTTTTAATCCGTAACACGAAGCAGAGGTTATTCCATATATGTATACATCTATCCAAATTAATAGTGTTGTCGTTTCTTTTATCTTAGCTAAACGATTCCTTTTGGCGATGAAATTACATATGATTGTTTATTAAATCAAGTCAATGTGTTGGGCGCAAATAGGCCTCTTATTGGCCCACGTCGCCCTAAAACTATAAAACCAACCAACCAACCATCTGAATAATCTTAGAATTTCATTAAGAAAGCGAACCAGAAGAGGATGTAGAGCTGGAAGAAAAGATACCAAAACGGTTTAAAGTGATTCAAAGAGTATTTGAGAGTGAGGATGGAACAAGGAGGTCAGGTGTTAACTTTAACAACTTGGTTCAAGTTTATCCTAGAAGATTTCCAAATACACTCAATGTCTCCTTGATAAACGTTCAATCATGCAAAAACAAGACTTTTGAACTTTCTGATTTGATTCAGGAAAATGCTATTGACATTCTTTTACTCACTGAGACATGGTGACGACAAAAGGGGCATGAGGTGAAACTCGCTGAGCTGACATCCCCTGGATACAGCTGTATACATGCTCCCAGATCCCAGCACGCCGGTGGGGGTGTAGCAGTGATACATAGGTCTAACATTCAGATAGAATGTTTAGACTATTTGGAAGAATTCAAAAGCTTTGAGTCAATCAACACTAAACTTAGTTCTGGAAATACTTGTGCTCATGTCGTGTGTTTGTATTGTCCACCGTCGTCAAAGAAAAAACCAAATTTCAACCTCTGTATTCCATGATGAGTTGTCTGGACTGGTTGATAGGTATAATCAGTTGAACACTATTTTGCTAGGTGATTTTAATATTCACTACGATAATAGTCAGTGCTCAGATACAAAGAAGATGAAAAATCTTCTCAAACTACATAGTTTGTGTCAGTATGTTGATGCTCCAACACATAAAAGAGGCCATATCCTTGACTGGGTAATATCCTCTGAAAGCAGTTCCTCGGTGTCTTCAGTCAATGTGCAGGATATACAACTGTCCGATCACTTTCTGGTTTCTATGACCTGGAGTATGGACTGACCTCAGCGTCAGACTATCAAACGATCCTGTCGTAATCTCAAGTCTATTGAAATGACGAGTTTCGAAGAGATCTTGTGAATTCTGACTTACTCCAAGATCCCCCGGATGATGTAAACCATCTCTCTTAGATAAACATGCCCCATCAGCTCCGAAGGAGATCATTGTCAGATCAGGGACTCCTTGGTACAATGAGCAGGTTCTCTTAGCCAAGCGGAAATGCAGAGCTGCAGAGAGTATTGGCGGAAGAGTCGCCTTGAATTTCACCGTCAGTTGTATAAGTCTGAGCGGAACTTTTGTGCTAGGGCTCTTAGAGGAGCCAAATCTAGTTACTGTACTAAGAAACTCTCTGACAATGGGAAGAATCCTTCCTTCTATCACAAATTTATGGGATATCTACTTGGCATGAAAAACGATTCCCCATTACCATCGCCTACTAGTGACAAGGATCTTGCAGACAATTTTTCAGCCTACTCCTCAAGTAAAATTGAAAATATCAGGAAATGCTTTGACCAAACATTTCCTGACACACAGGATCATCAAACATGCCCACCCGATGATAGGATCTGCCTGGACAGCTTGGATTCTTTCACTGAGGGTGAGATAGCTGCACTCATCAAACGGTTAAAAACCCATTGTGTCTTCTTGATCCAATGCCAACTCATCTCCTTGATGACTATTTGGAGACTCTTTTGCCAGTTATCACGAAACTGATCAACTTGAGCTTAGTTAATGGTGTCTTTCCAGAGGTGTTCAAGCAAGCTGTGGTAAAGCCATTACTTAAGAAAGACAATTTGGATATCAATACTCTCAAGAATTATGGACCTGTCTCCAAGCTTTCCTTCCTCTCCAAGATCCTTGAACGTGCAGTTGATGTCAGACTCAGATCCTACCTCTCTTCAAATGATTTTCTTAATAGATTCCAATCAGCCTATCGTCCTAGGCACAGTACTGAGACCGCCTTACTTCAAATTCTGAATGACCTGAGATGCCATGCGGACTTGGGTAATGTGTCACTTCTCCTCTTGCTTGATCTCTCAGCAGCGTTCGACACGGTCAACCATCAGAAGCTCCTCAGCAGTCTTCAGGACGATTATAACATACAAGGGGATGCATTGGCCTGGTTCCATTCCGATCTGAGCACGAGAAGTCAGTCATTCTTGTCTCTGAAAGCATGTCTGAGTCAACGATCCTAGAGTGTGGTGTACCCCAGGGCTCAGTCCTTGGGCCACTTCTCTTTGTGTTATACACAAACCACTTGGAGAAGGTCATTGATAACTTTGATGTGAATCACCACGCATTTGCAGACGACCTCCAATTGATGGATTCCTTCAAACCAGAGGATGTACAAATAGCCTGATCAAGAGTGAGTCAGTGCACGAGGGCAATTAGTTCATGGATGGTGACAAATGAGCTGAAGCTCAATGATGACAAGATTGAGGCTATGTTGATAGGCACATCGCAACGTCTGAAAAGGATAAACTCTACGGACATCACAGTAGCCAACTCAGATATCTCACTTTCATCCAGTGTAAAGAACCTAGGTGTTTATCTTGATCCTTGTCTCACCATGGAGCAACATGTGAACCATCTCTGTAGAGTAGGCTACTTCCATCTCCACTCTATTGGTACCATCCGCCATCTTGTAACCACAGATGCTGCTAAAGTTCTCACTCAGTCACTTGTTCTCTCCAGGATTGACTATTGCAATAGCCTACTGTTTGGAATCTCTAATGATCTTCTCTTCAGACTTCAAAAACTTCAAAATGCCGCCGCCAGAGTTGTAACTAAAACATCCAAATGGTCTCTCATAACCCCAATCCTCCAGAGTCTGCATTGGCTGCCGGTTGAAGCCAGAATTCAGTTCATGATCCTTACCCTTGTTTCCCGCTGCAGACACGGCCTAGCTCCTCCATACCTCTCTGAAATGTTGTCAACATATATGTCTGCCCGTTCTCTCTGCTCCCAGAATCAAGATCTTCTCTCAGTTCCCCAAGTTCATCTCAAACACTTTGGCCATAGTTCATTCAAATTTGCAGCACCAACCCTGTGGAACAGTCTTCCTACTCCCATAAAAAATGCTTCATCCTTAGAAGCATTCAAATCGGGACTCAAAACCTTCCTGTTCAACAAATTCTACAACCTATAACTGCGAAATATTGTCATGTTTATTTTGACGAATTGTCATATCTTCTTCATCAACTCTAGTGACTCTTTTTGTATGTAGCGCTTTGAGCATGCTCTGGATGGACTATGACGCACAAGAAATAGCCATTTATTATTATTATTAAGAAGGAAAATATTATGGGAGTGAGGCCAGTTGAAGGGTCCCATCTGAGCCTTCTGCCGGCCATGAAGATGAAACGAGGACGGATAATGAGTTGAGTTCTGTTTTCAGAAATAACCTGCAGTGACCCGAATCTTCTTTTCCCTCACGCGTTGGCCTCACTTCAGACAAAACGCCTCACTGGTTGGACGTGATGACCTTCACATGTGAGCCAGGCTACATCAACATGGGCGACGTTTCTTGGGTGGCTTGCAGCAGGAATGGGACTTTTCTGTTGCATAATAATGTACAAACACCGCACTGTGTTCGTAAGTATTTTGGAACCGTAAAACTGTAAATTAATGGGTGGCATGGACTGACTTGCCCTCAATATAACGATGGTACACGCCCTCACTGACATATCGACTGAGATATCGGTATACTCCCTTACTCCCTTACTCACGCCCTCACTGACACAGCGGTACACTCCATCACTGACACAGCGGTACACACCCTCACTGACACAGCGGTATACTCCCTTACTGACACAGTGGTACATGCCCTCACTGACACAGCGGTACACGCCCTCACTGACACAGTGGTACACGCCCTCACTGACACAGCGGTATACTCCCTCACTGACACAGTGGTACACTCCCTCACTGACACAGTGGTACACGCCCTCACTGACACAGTGGTACATGCCCTCACTGACACAGCTGCACATGCCCTCACTGATACAGCAGTACACGCCCTCACTGACACAGCAGTACCCGCCCTCACTGACACAGTGGTACATGCCCTCACTGACACAGCTGCACATGCCCTCACTGATACAGCAGTACACGCCCTCACTGACACAGCAGTACACGCCCTCACTGATACAGCAGTACACGCCCTCACTGACACAGCAGTACACGCCCTCACTGACACAGTGGTACACGCCCTCACTGACACAGCTGCACATGCCCTCACTGATACAGCAGTACACGCCCTCACTGACACAGTGGTACACGCCCTCACTGATACAGCAGTACACGCCCTCACTGACACAGCAGTACACGCCCTCACTGACACAGTGGTACACGCCCTCACTGACACAGTGGTACACTCCCTCACTGACACAGCGGTACACGCCCTCACTGACACAGCTGCACATGCCCTCACTGACACAGTGGTACATGCCCTCACTGACACAGCTTCACATGCCCTCACTGACACAGCGGTACACGCCCTCACTGACACAGCAGTACACTCCCTCACTGACACAGTGGTACACGCCCTCACTGACACAGTGGTACACTCCCTCACTGACACAGTGGTACATGCCCTCACTGACACAGCTGCACATGCCCTCACTGATACAGCAGTACACGCCCTCACTGACACAGCAGTACACGCCCTCACTGACACAGCAGTACACGCCCTCACTGACACAGCGGTACACGCCCTCACTGATACAACAGTCAGCCCTCACAGACACAGCGGTACACGCCCTCACTGACACAATGGTATACTCCCTCACTGACACAATGGTATACTCCCTCACTGACACAGCGGTACACGCCCTCACTGACACAGCGGTATACTCCCTTACTGACACAGTGGTATACTCCCTCACTGACACAGCGGTACACGCCCTCACTGACACAGCGGTACACGCCCTCACTGACACAGTGGCATACTCCTTCACTGACACAGCGGTACACGCCCTCACTGACACAGCAGTACACGCCCTCACTGACACAGCGGTACACGCCCTCACTGACACAGTGGTATACTCCCTCACTGACACAGCGGTACACGCCCTCACTGACACAGCGGTATACTCCCTTACTGACACAGCGGTACACGACCTCACTGACACAGTGGTACATGCCCTCACTGACACAGTTGTACATGCCCTCACTGATACAGCAGTACACGCCCTAACTGACACAGCAGTACACGCCCTCACTGACGCAGCAGTACACGCCCTCACTGACACAGCGGTACACGCCCTCACTGACACAGCTGCACATGCCCTCACTGACACAGCTTCACACGCCCTCACTGACACAGTGGTACACTCCCTCACTGACACAGCGGTACACGCCCTCACTGACGCAGCGGTACACGCCCTCACTGACGCAGCGGTACACGCCCTCACTGACACAGCGGTACACGCCCTCACTGACGCAGCGGTACACGCCCTCACTGACACAGCGGTACACGCCCTCACTGACACAGCTGCACATGCCCTCACTGACACAGCGGTACACGCCCTCACTGACGCAGCAGTACACGCCCTCACTGACGCAGCGGTACACGCCCTCACTGACACAGCGGTACACGCCCTCACTGACACAGTGGTACACGCCCTCACTGACACAGCGGTACACGCCCTCACTGACACAGTGGTACACGCCCTCACTGACGCAGCGGTACACGCCCTCACTGACACAGTGGTACACTCCCTCACTGACACAGTGGTACACGCCCTCACTGACACAGCTGCACATGCCCTCACTGACGCAGTGGTACACGCCCTCACTGATACAGCGGTACACGCCCTAACTGACGCAGCGGTACATGCCCTCACTGACACAGCTGCACATGACCTCACTGACACAGCTGCACATGACCTCACTGACACAGCTGCACATGACCTCACTGACACAGCGGAACACACCCTCACTGACACAGTCGAACATGTCCTGACTGAAACATCATGGATGCAGTCAGAGACCTCGAATTACCACAACTCTTTTGTCATAACCGTTGGTTTCATTTGACGACTGAAGGGTGCTTATTTGGTTTCATGCTTTCGTTGAAGGATGCTTACATTTCAGTTTGCCATTCACTGTATCCACGGTCCTGTCATCTAAACATCCTTCTTCTGCGACGCTGTAGGACGTGTGGAGGATTCCGTGTAAGAAAACAGGTCCCTTAGCAAAGTATTCATGTCATTCATGGGAAGCGGTGGGGAGGACAATCCAAATCCCAACCATTTGCTGGAAACGTTTATACGTGCGAAAATACACACAGTGATGCTAATGATTCTCATCTTTTACCGTTAACGGAGCGGTTGGGTAGACTCGTGGTTAATGCGTTCGCTCGTAACGTCGAAGACTCGGGCCCGTTTCCTCAGTCATCATCTTTAATCACTTAATCCAGAATCAACCAAACCTGATTTTGTTTTCTTAATTACATATTACGCCGCATAGTATATGGTAACTTTACTTCTGCAAGAGGCAGTAACTTGTGGCTCATAAAAATGTCGTGTCCAAACACCATTGTAATACTCCCGAAGCAGCTCGTAAGGTAGAGTGACCTCCCTTTGCTGTTTACAGTCGGAATTCCACCACAGTGCTCCCTTTAAGCAGGGATACTCTACAACAGGGATAGGTCACTCGCTTGCTTTCTTTACCATTTGTACTAATTAACGTGTGCCTCGTCATGCTCCAACGCACACAGTGATTTATTTGGTTCGGTCCCAGCGCAACTTCGGCTGCGTTTAACAGTACTTCAGCCAGTGTATTGTATAGGTCGGAATTTTACAATGAATGAATGAATGAATTAAGAGCAAGAATTTTATGTGAATGAATGAAAGAAATTAAGAAAAAGAACAAAAGAAAAAGAACATATGTGAATGAATGAAAGAATAAATGATACACCACGGCCATCCCTCCCCAAACATGTTAAAGAACGCAAAACTATCGGTAGAACATGTTAACATCAGCTGTCCTTTTTATAAAAAATCTACTTTGAGACATTTTTTTACATTAGTAACTAATTCAGATATCTTATTGCATGTGTGGAATGACATGGGCATTGACAGAATGTTAACTGACACTGTCACAGACCCCTCAAGAACAGAAAGTTAAGAACTATCACAAAGCCTTGCAAACACCTTTCCAGTTTTGTCAAATACTAAGATCAACAAGAAAGAAAGAAGTTTTAGAACTATAACACTCAAGCATCACAAGCACCAATGGCGTATCAGAACAGATCGGCGATATGTCATATTTTTCACACACCTCAAATACACACTAACAAAAATAAAATAAAACTATCACTATTACTTGCAAAACACTTTCACCTGATGGTATATTCCCCTCATAAAAATTGAAGGTGTATGTGAAAGATGTTTTTGAACACTAACTAGAAACACTCAAACAACGCCCTGTAGTATTTCAATGGCAGATCGGCGATATGTCATATTTTTTACACACCTCAAATACACACTAACAATTTTTTTTAAATTATAAAACTATCACTATTACTTGCAAACACCATTCACCTGATGGTATATTCCCCTCATAAAAATTGAAGGTGTATGTGAAAGATGTTTTTGAACACTAACTAGAAACACTCAAACAACGCACTGTAGTATTTCAATGGCAAATCGGCGATATGTCATATTTTTCACACACCTCAAATACACCCTAACAAATTTTTTTTAGTTATAAAAATATCACTATTACTTGCAAACACCTTTTAACAAAAGGAATATTTCCCTTCTAAAAATTAAACGAATATGTGAAAGAAGTTTTTAGCGATATAAGTTAGTCTTTCTTCGCTGTGTACTGAGAATTGAAGCCAGTGAGCTACAACATGCCCACTTGAAACTTTACTACAAAGCTACTGTACTTATACTGACACTAATAACAAGTATTTGACTTAAAATGAAGTGACAGAATAGGTAACTTATCTTCTACATGTAGGTTTTCAGTTGTCACAACACTCAGCGTATGTAATCAGCTGTTGAAAATAAACCGGGCTCAATCTTAAAAACTACGCTGTCGCCATATTGGCTGCACTGGTCACGTGACGAGCCGAGGCATAGCTTAGGAGCTTTCCGAGGAGTGACCACTCCCCCTTATAGAGTCTCCCTGCTTTAAGGGGCTGCTTTACTACAGGAGTCGTTCATTCCGAACAAACCTTATGTAGAGGGTAATGTCCGAGTAACTCTCCATTCCTTAAAAATAATGGAGCCGAGGCCCCGGAGGGGCCGAGGCACATTATTTTTAAGGAATGGAGAGTTACGAGGATATTACCCTACTTAAATTACATTCGAAGTATTGGGAATATTTCTGTTATCAAAATTATATGTCAAAATGACAAAATGAAGGTGTTATTTTGAAACCGGTACACATCGCTCCATTCCTGAAACGTAATGGAGCGAACAGACAATCGAATGACGTCACAAATGTAATTTAATGTTGAAGATACAGGGGCGGATCCAGAGTGGTGGTGGGTCTGTTGGGGGTGAGGGGGTCCTGAAGGTTCCTGAAGGCTATGTCTGTATGAGAGCGAAAACGAGAGTGTCAGGGGGCTTACTAATACTGTCTGTCTTGGATCATTCAACTTGCCTTAATGTTTTATCTTATGTTCAAACTGAGCTAAAGATTTGATGTCTGCTATACAATCTCTCATATGAACAAATGGTGCGTTTCAGCCAAGAAGAAGTATGGAACTTTCATATTCTCCCCCAAGCCGATCCGACTGATGATCCTCCATTCACTTCCGGCTGAATCCGACATGAGGTGTGCTGCTGCATGCCGGGAAAAAACGTCATGTTCCTACTTCTTCTTTGAGAACAATAGCTGCAGCATGTGCAAGTACTATAAGTGGAGATCAGGAGGATTAAACATGGCAGGAAGGCCACTCTGGCAGAAAGTGTTTCCTACAGAGTATTCACTTGACTTTGTAACACCCTAAGGTATATGTTGACTGGGTACCTGTCTATCTAAACGAGTAGGCAGGGTGACCGATATCTCGTAGGCTGAAATTTGATTACAAAAAGCATAACATTCATTGCTCCTCCGTATCGAATGACAAAATCTGCTTATTTGGTGTTAGGTCGTAAAACGATAGCAGGGACAGACTGTTATACTATTTATCGCCCAGAATAAACACAAACCCTTCGCAGATTATACCTCATCCGGCATTCCTGAAACAGGGACAATTACAATTTGAACTTAAAGTTTAACAATCTGCTTTATTACCTACAAGTAACATGGTTGTGTTTTACTCATGTCAGTGGTAAGGGGTAACAAAATAGTTTCACACATACGCTGAGAATCAAACCATCAGTGAGACGTCCGCGATACAGCTGGAATATTGCTGAGTGCGGCGTAAAACTAACCTCACCCACTCAGTGAGACGTGGGAATATGGGGCTACTGACCTACAAGAAGCCATTTGAAACCGTCCACAGCATAAGGCAAGGTAATACATGCAATACTTCCTGGTTTTATAAACACCATGCGCTGCAAAGATGTAGTTACATCCTAAACGGTAACACCATTCTTGTCCCATAAGGTTGACATGTTTATGCCCCAAACATGTTTAGGACGTGTTTATTTGTGGGAAAGCCCAATATACTACCCTCCGTGAAATTCACTCTCAAGTCTAAAGGATCTCTTGTAGTCTTTTAGTATGGGTGAGGGTGACTACAACGTGTACAGCGTTGTCAGCTTATTATTATAGGATATTTATACTCATGCCAATAATGGTTGTCACCCCCTCCCACACCCCACCCCACACACCCTCTCCAATAAAACCAATTTGAAGGGGTGACAACCATTATTGGCATGAGTATATATAGCGCACATATCCAAGCAACTAGTGCATGCTCAAGGAGCTGGTATTTTTTCCTCGATCATTGGATGTCAATTTCAACGGCACATCCTATTTTTTTTTTATCAATCTCAACTCCCTGGGGAGTATACAACTCTTGCAGCCACTAGGTGCACCGAGTTATTGTGGCTTTCTCATCCTAACGAGGTAGGATGTATGAAAGACTGTATGAAAGAAATACTCTTAGCAACAACACATGTATTAATTAATTTTTAAACCTTGGTATGAGCCGGACCTGCAATTACTTGGTTACCTACCTGTAGCCCCTTATTGCCAAGTTATTGGCGTGTTGTACATTTTATGTCAATATTGTATCAGTTCGTTCCACGTGGGTATAATCCCGTTATATAGCGTGTTAACTGATAGTTTATATACTCGGCGTCATTAATGAAGCGTCAAAGCTATTGGTAACACTATTTCTTAAAGGTTGTAAAAGCTTTGTTTTTGTTTGAAATATATACAACTGAATGTTTTACAAACTTTCTTAACAGTATGGAAAAACACATCAGGCCGTTGAAATGTCATTATTACGTTCTTTAACGTCAATTACATTCTGTTACAAATTACACATTTTAATTCAAATTGTCAATATGGAAATCCACCTGATGTGCACGTGCAAGTCGCTCTATCCATGGAAAGTGGAGGACAATACACATACATTGATGGTTTTTCACGGTGGGTCACTGTTCAGTTACCTGTTTGAAATTGCAGCTTAAAATGAGACGTATTTTGACACTTGCTGAAAGGGGTCAGGCTATGGGCCTTTTGGAATCTGGTCAAACTCAACGACAGGCTGCTGTCCGCTTTAACCTTTCTTTACATGTGCGGGGCGGTGGAGTAGTCTAGTGGTTAAAGCGTTGGCTCGTCACGCCGAAGACCCGGGTTCGAATCCCCACATGGGTACAATGAGTGAAGCCCATTTCTGGTGTCCCCCGCCGTGATATTGCTGGAATATTGCTAAAAGCGGCGTAAAACCAAACTCAGTCAGTCTTTACATGTGCTTTATATCCTTTAACCCTTTATTAATGTCGCCTGGTATACTTTGCTATGTTTTTACAAAATATATGAAAACCTAGTTGTTATACTGTCCCTCGATGAAGGGATGTTAAACTGTTTAAATATATTTGTTGTCAATGTATATATTTTTCTCTCACCACGATATGGCTGAAATATTTGAAATCTTACCAATGTGACGTTAGATTTTAACTCACTTGTCGTACATGTGATATGACAAAGCCTGTTAACCCGTGAAGGTCCGGGTTAGAATAAACCTTCAGTAACAGTCATAAGAGGCGACTAACGGGATCGGGTGGTCAGGCTCGCTGGCTTGGTTGACACATGAGTGCTCCCAATTGCCAGATCGATGCTCATGATGTTCATCACATGGTCACTCACTCACAGACCCGCCAAGGCTGCTGCGTTACTAACTTTAATATATATTATACATCCTATCTATATGTCACTTAACGCACCACGAGATGTACATTATGTAAAATGTTTTATCCTGACCAAGTTTAAACGTGTATAAAAATATTTAAACTTATTTGATTTGTAAACGTGTTTAGGTAATGAATATGTTGTATTTCGGTGGTGTTTGGTCTGTGATAGCACATTTTATGCTTTTAGACCCTAAACACATTCTTAAACATTTTATATTTTAACATGTCTTGTATTTGTGTAACATACGAAACACATTTTACAGTGTTTTACTGTCTATTTCGCACCGTCCATATTCGAACGCAGGCCAGCGAAATCTCTTACCTCTAGGCTATCCCTGGGCCCCATATTTAATCCAACGAAATAGATTAATTAAAGGTCACATGCAACGCAAAACACAACGTTGCAGTTTCTAATACCTTTCGGTATGGACTTACAGTAGCAAATTGTAAAAAATGCAAATTCAACTTATAAAGTTGAAAATAACGCGATGAAAAAAACCCCGCGAAATCGGAGTTCAAACGATTTACTAATGTCACCCCAGCGCTTGGGTGAAAAGTGGTTTGAACCGGGAAGGCGACTCGTAAAAACACAGGAAGTGATGCGTGCAAGGATTATCGCTGTGGTCGAAGTTGGAGAACAAAATATGTTTCTTGTGATTACAAGCATCTTTGGTCTGCAGTAATAAAAATACACTGGTCCCGTACTTTTTCTTATATGTTTTCACATCTTATTTATGGGGGGTTGGCAGAATTGCAAACCAAGTTTTTCAAGAAAGTGTAGTATTAGAAATACTAATTTCTTTGTTAAAAATTGCTCAGCTTGAAAACTGAAATGTTTTAATACATGTCTATGGGAAAAAAATATATTGATTGTGATCAGCGGTCTCTGTCACAAACAAAACTCAATGTCTGTTTTATTGACACCTATGTGTCTGCCTGCCTGTCTGCTAATGACAATATGCAATACACAACTTCAATCATTGACCACATGCAATTTGAACTTGAAACGTATCAGGCTATGCACCATAAACAAAATACATTGATTTATGGCTCGTGCACCTGAGTTCTGTCTCTGTCACATTATGTAATTACACAGACAGGCAGGTGTGATACTTGTACATATGACATGTTATTATGTCTGTGGGTTGCAAACAAACTGCATCCATTTTTCTCGGATGACTGGATCGGACGGAAACCGGTGCAAACTCAGATTGTCAGTTTCAAGTCCTTCTTTGTACTTGAACGAACGACAGTTTCCAGCCACGCAGTAGTTCACCATCTCAGTATTTGTTGATTGGATCGAACACAAATGCAGACAAAATGAGCAAGTATTTACAAACACAACATCTCAATATACACACACACATAATGAGCCCTCAGTGAATCGGCAAATGAACCAGCCAATGAAAGACTTCGCTACACTTGAGTGCACACCCACCCGCTCTGACTGGGTTCGGTCTCCCGGGTGCTTCGTTTCGAGGGAAGTAAACCCAAGTACCAAATATTGCACTTTTGATTTGCAATTGTACGCTTATAATTTTGTTTATTTGTTTTTTCATAATCAGCAATGTATATTATGTGTCATGAATAATTGTGTTTTAATTATGCTTGTTTTTTGGTTGCATGTGACCTTTAATGTTGGTGTCGTTATAATCGACTTGGCGCTTTATCCGAATCCGCTGTAACCAGGGTCGCCTGCAGTGCAGTGTGCTGTGGCAATGACGTTTATTTTTCTTTGGATCTTTGCCAGAGTCAAACTATCATTTCGGTCACAGCTTCAAAAGACACAGTTGGAAACCAAACATATTTTCCATAACACCTTGTTTCAATAAATCAGTTGATATACACATGTAGTTGGTAAACACCGTCCTTAGCAATATTCCAGCTGTCTGTAAATGATTAAAGCTGGACCAGACAATCAAGTGAGTGACATAATTGCGATCGATTGCGATACAATGACATTGATCAGTCAGTCGCCTCTTTCGACAAGCATTGGTTGCTGAAGACTAATTCTAAAAGGTTGTTTGGGTTTTTTGTTTAACGCCGCACCCAGCAATATTACAGCTACATGTAAATAATCGAGTCTGGACCAGACAATCCAGTGATCAACAACATGAACATCGATCAACGCAACTGGGATACGATGACATGTGTCCCGTTAGTCGTCTCTTACGACAAGCATGGGTTACTGAAGATCAATTCTGTTCCGGATCTTACTAAAAAGGATGTTCATGGTTTATGTCATGCTCAAGGGAAACTATTCGCAGTAATATCGCCAATTTGAGTTATATAAAAACATTTTATTGTCGATCATACGACGCTATGTAAGAACGTTGTATATAAACATGAATTCCAAACAAAACAAACAAACACTAACATATCACATCCGATGTTGATAAAATATACTGGAAGCCGCGGAGCCGAGATATTGGAGCCACGATTGGGTTAACAATGGAGCAAACGGCGGCTTGGGATCGGTTTTGGATCCTGGAGCCGTGGAATGTTGATTGACGCCTGTCATGATGTCAATTCTGGATATCATGGTTGTGAATTTCATCTTGGTGTAGCTGAACCGGCTGTCCCTCATACGCCCCTCCAACAACCCAAGGTGGATCAGATCAAGACTCCCGTCACCATCCACGTCAGTAACAGCATCTGCAGCGGAGGAAGTGGTGTCACGCATGTTATCGTGTCAATAACTGTTTATAAGTTGTATCAATAACTACTTAATAGTTGTATCGAAAACAATCTCAAGGCTGCATCAATATTTATTCTAACTGTTGTATCAATAACGACTTAGCTGCTGTATCAATACTGTTTTTATTGGTGTATCAATACCTACTTCATAGTTGTATCAATAACTACTTCATAGTTGTATCAGTAACTACTTCATAGTTGTATCATATCCTACCCTCGAAGTTGTATCAATAACTCCTTCAAAGTTTTATCAATAACTACTTTATAGTTGTATCAATAACTACTTCAAAGTTGTATCAATAACTACTTCATAGTTGTATCAATAACTACTTCATAGTTGTATCAATAACTACTTTATAGTTGTATCAATAACTACTTCATAGTTGTATCAATACCTACTTCATAGTTGTATCAATACCTACTTCATAGTTGTATCAAAACCTACTTCAAAGTTGTATGAATAATTACTTCATAGTTGTATCAATAACTACTTTATAGTTGTATCAATAAGTACTTCATAGTTGTATCAATACCTACTTCATAGTTGTATCCATACCTACTTCATAGTTGTATCAAAACCTACTTCAAAGTTGTATCAACAACTACTTCATATTTGTATCAATAACTATTTCATAGTTGTATCAAAACCTACTTCAAAGTTGTATCAATAACTACTTCAAAGTTGTATCAATAACTACTTCATTCTTGTGTCAATAACTACTTCAAAGTTGCATCAATAACTACTTCATAGTTGTATCAATACCTATTTCATAGTTGTATCAAAACCTACTTCAAAGTTGTATCAATAGCTACTTCAAAGTTGTATCAATACCTACTTCAAAGTTGTATCAATAACTACTTCATAGTTGTATCAATACATACTTCATAGTTGTATCAATACCTACTTCAAAGTTGTATCAATAACTACTTCATAGTTGTATCAATACCTACTTCATAGTTGTATCAATAACTACTTCATAGTTGTATCAATAACTACTTCATAGTTGTATCAATACCTACTTCATAGTTGTATCAATAACTACTTCATAGTTGTATCAATACCTACTTCATAGTTGTATCAATACCTACTTCAAAGTTGTATCAATACCTACTTCATAGTTGTATCAATACCTACTTCAAAGTTGTATCAATACCTACTCAAAGTTGTATCAATACCTACTTCATAGTTGTATCAATACATACTCAAAGTTGTATCAATACCTACTATCAATAGTTGTATCAATACCTACTTCAAAGTTGCATTACCTACTTCATAGTTGCATCAATACTACTTCATAGTTGTATCAATACCTACTTCATAGTTGTATCAATACCTACTCATAGTTGTATGAATAACTACTTCATAGTTGTATCAATACCTACTTCATAGTTGTATCAATACCTACTTCATAGTTGTATCAATAACTACTTCATAGTTGTATCAATACCTACTTCATAGTTGTATCAATACCTACTTCATAGTTGTATCAATACCTACTTCATAGTTGTATCAATAACCTACTCATAGTTGTATCAATAGTCATAGTTGTATCAATAACTACTTCATAGTTGTATCAATACCTACTTCATAGTTGTATCAATAACTACTTCATAGTTGTATCATCATAACCTACTTCATAGTTGTATCAATACCTACTTCATAGTTGTATCAATAACTACTTCATAGTTGTATCAATACCTACTTCATAGTTGTATCAATAACTACTTCATAGTTGTATCATACTTCAAAGTTGCATCAATAACTACTTCATAGTTGTATCAATACCTACTTCAAAGTTGTATCAATAACTACTTCAAAGTTGTATCAATAACTACTTCATAGTTGTATCAATACCTACTTCATAGTTGTATCAATAACTGCTTCAAGTTGTATCAATACCTACTTCATAGTTGTATCAATAACTACTTCATAGTTGTATCAATAACTTCTTCATAGTTGTATCAATACCTACTTCATAGTTGTATCAATACCTACTTCATAGTTGTATCAATAACTACTTCATAGTTGTATCAATACCTACTTCATAGTTGTATCAATACCTACTTCATAGTTGTATCAATACCTACTTCATAGTTGTATCAATACCTACTTCATAGTTGTATCAATACCTACTTCATAGTTGTATCAATAACCTACTTCAAAGTTGTATCAATAACTACTTCAAAGTTGTATCAATACCTACTTCATAGTTGTATCAATACCTACTTCATAGTTGTATCAATACCTACTTCATAGTTGTATCAATACCTACTTCATAGTTGTATCAATACCTACTTCATAGTTGTATCAATAACTACTTCATAGTTGTATCAATAACTACTTCATAGTTGTATCAATAACTACTTCATAGTTGTATCAATAACTACTTCATAGTTGTATCAATAACTACTTCATAGTTGTATCAATAACTACTTCATAGTTGTATCAATAACTACTTCAAAGTTGTATCAATAACTACTTCAAAGTTGTATCAATAACTACTTCAAAGTTGTACCAATAACTACTAAATAGTTGTGTCGATAACTACTTAAGCTGTATCAATAGTTATTTTAAATGTTTTATCAATAAATACTGAAATGATGTATACATAACTACATAACTGTCGTATCAAGAGTTACTGAACCGTTGTATTAGAAGTATTAAAGGAGGGTAAAAAGGGTTGAATCGTGTCAAACGTTACCTGTAGACCTTGAGTCGGGAAGCATAACAATACACATAGGAATTTTCCCAGTCGACTTGTCGGCAGGCATACACCCCTCCTCATCGGGTCTGGGTTTGTAGTCTGGAATAATAATAGTGATGATAATAATGCTGACGATAATATCGACAGAGATTTGTTTCCAGCAAATTTCTTCCTGTGACATTTCAATCTTTTGCTTTTACTCGTTGATTTGGTGTATATAAAACGTCCACATGTTAGTGAGTGAGTGAGTTTAGTTTTACGCCGCTTTTAGCAATATTCCAGCAATATCACGGCGGGGGACACCAGAAATGGGCTTCACACATTGTACCCTTGTGGGAAATCGAACCAGAATCTTTAGCGTGACGAGCAAACGTTTCAGTGGCGGTGGGGTAGCATAGTGGTTAGAGCTTTCGCTCGTTCGGGTTCGATTCCCCACATGAGTACAGTGAGAAGTCCATTTCTGGTGAGGTGAGGTGAAATTGGGTTTTACGTCGTACTTGAGAATATTTCGCTCATATGACGACGTGCATGCGTGTGTATGTGCGGCTGCGTGTACTAGTCCAGACTTAAGCTGGTTTTATAGTACTAGCTCTCTGAGATACCATGCCGCAGTGAAGCATGAATACCCACCTCAGACACATTATACTGACTCGAGCCGACCAGTCCTTGTTGTACCCATTAACTTACTGACTCTAGCTTGCAGTGTGCTCTAGGGAAGCAGACCCGTGAAGATTAGAATTGGTCTTCAGCAACCCATGTTTAGATTCGACTAACGGGATCGGCTGGTCAGGCTCGCTGACTTGTGTGACTCATGACATCGTATCCCCTTGGCGGAAATCGATACTGTTGATCACTGGATTGTCTGGTCCAGACTGATTATTTACAGACCATCACCATCGACGAGTGCGTCGTTAAACAAGAATCAAACAAAGCAACAATTGTGGCACCTTTGACCACTGCCGTGCCCCAGTGTTAGTGTCAGAATGAATAATATATCAGTCTCACCGTAGTAGTATTTTTCCCCTTGTGTTAGATGTAGAGGGAGTGTTTTCTCCGCGTGGTTCCGGTCAACGAGGAAGACGAGCTCGCTGAAGTGCGTGAGGTCATTATCACAGGTCACGTGCTTGTCCTTAAATTCTTGGATGAGGTCTTCACCTGTGAACGTGAAATTTACATTTTGCTCGTTCAGTCATTAGGTCAGTTGCATGGGCCGTGGTCTATTACTTACACAGTCTCTTACAGATAGAGTGACTGAGTATAGTTTTACGCCACACTCAGCAATATTCCAGCTATATGGCGGCGGTCTGTAAATAATCCAGTCTGGACCAGACAATCCAGTGATCAACAACATGAGCATCGATCTACGCAATTGGGAACTGATGACATGTGTCAACCAAGTCAGCGAGCCTGAAAACCCGATCCCGTTAGTCGCCTCTTACGACAAGCATTGGTTACTGAAGATCAGTTCCGGATCTTGACGGGTCTCTTACAATTAGATCTGACGCCGAAACTATGCCTGTCTGAACGAATAACAGATGAACTTCGACCGACCAATCTAAATGAAGATTATTTGGGTTGTCAACCAATCAGATGTCAGCCTTCTTTATCAAATCAGCTTGGTTTCCTGAGCACCTCCATTGGGAAATTTCCGTTTTAACAAGAATAAAAAAAAATAATTCAAAACAAATTCACTGAACACAAATATTCCTTCCCTGCAACGCTCGTAGATGTAAATTTAGATGCCAGGGCACTAAAAGGTTTAGGTGAGAAAGCTCATCTTATATTACAAATACTCATTTGGATATACATACATACAATATTTATATAAAATTATATGTACGTACATTCGTCACTCCCGTCGCTGTCTCTTTTGGTTATCTGAAATGCATTCGATAGTACGTTATGATATCTATTAATGTCAGATACAATTCTATAAAAGCAGTGCAAAGATAAATATCTTATATTAAATCTCATTATTTATCACACCAATTCATATTATGTCACTTTTTTCGGTAGATTGGCAAATGTAATAGATTGGTGAGTAAGTGATGCTATTTCTCAAAAGAATCCCTCCGAGAATGGTAAGCTTGTAAAATTGTATTCCATTCTGTCCACTCACAACTCGCTGTGCCCCAACGCCATGGGCTTGCCCCCTCGTTCCGTTCCCCAGGGTCGCGTTCTTGCCCATCATCTTGACCATGAAGTAGTCCAGGTGCTTTGTCCTTGACCGGAGGACCAGATCCGAGGACATTTGATACATGCTGGAGTGGTCCTTCCACAGTGTCTTGCCGTTTATACCGTTCAGTATCAGTGTCTGGAAATGGAAAGAACGTAAAATAATGAACGTTCCAGGCTATATTACGCGGTGTGAGAGACCGACAAGGGTGTGGGTGCCTCGGATATATGTAGGTAACATCTTACATCGTTTAAAAACTTATAACACTTTTCAAAATGAGAACGACAGTGATAGCAATATTCTAGCAATATCATGGCTCGGGGCACCAGAAATGGGCTTCACCCATTGTACCCTTTTTGGGAATCGAACCCGGGTCTAGCCGCCTCCAAAAGCTAAAGCTTTAACCACTTGATTACCCAAGCGCCCCTTATTCCGAGACAGTTGGTTTGTGAATCATGAATGAACTGGACAATAAACAACGATCTATAAGTCTTATGGCAGCGTTTACAATTCCCGCCTGCCCGACCGTCCGGAACTGTCTATTTTCATCTCGGACTGTCAAATTTCAAAAGTACCCCTAGGAGTAAATATTTCATAATATCAGACAGGTTCTCTTGTCGTCAGTTTGAGGTGTTTAAGTAATTATGATAATTATGTTAAACTACTTACGATTGGACTGTTCAAGTTACGATAACCAATCACAATCATGCATTTCAGTTTACCTAAACTCGGTGCATTGCCTGTTAGTGCTATGTAATTCATTGCGATGCCTACAAACAGTGAATTGAGCTTGCGCGAGTTGGAAATGGCAGTCACAGTTTTTAATTATTGAAAACCGGACAGGCAAGTTTGTATTCAGACAGGTAATTTTTTAAAAGCTGTCTGGATTGGAATTTTGGGAGTTTTAAACACTGCTTATGGACCATATTTCCTGCCTGAACGAATGGTACAAATCGTAAGCCTTTGGTTATTCTGTCTCACAGTCCGTGAACCACATTATTTTTCCTCATGCCTAGCCCTTACTGCAATGATAAAGCCCTAAATGAAGCAAGTTTAGATTTCCCCAGGTTCAATCTCCCAACTCACTGGGGCTCCTTTTCAATTTAAATGGGTTTATTTGTTACCATTATATATATTCAGGGACTAAGCGTTAGTCTAGCCTTTGGCGAGTGGCTTGCAACTTTTATTCACTCTGGGCAAAAAATCGGTTTCAAGTATCTTATTTATCTGACAATTAAGAGGAAAGAAATAATTACCCTACAGTGAAACTCCAATGAAGGCAGCCTCTTATTCAGAGGAAGTTTTGTAATCTATTTGTGAACAATTGATGACGTCACATCATATGACCTTCTCAAACTTCATGTTGTTTCAACTCATCGATCAGAAATGAGAATTAGGCAAATGCACGTGCAAATTTAGGTAATTTATTTCACAAGATTATTCAACCTTTAAGGGTAATATTTTCGTTAATATCAATTTTATATCATGACGCACGTGGTTGGGACCACACAAACCGATGACTGAAAACCTGAACACCTACCCACGTCATTGAAAGCGAACCACTTTAATGAAAATCTTAATAAAGTAGAAGTTTTATTAGTTTTTTAGCTTGGGTCCCATCCAGGAGTCGAACCTCAGAGTGAGGCACCAAATCACCAGAGCACAAAGTCAGTGATCTATCGCACATGGCCACTGAGACTTAATATCATTCCATGAATCAACACCATAAAAACAGAAAAATACGAAGCACTATTTGGAAACTTTCTCATATTAACATTTCACTTTCAACTTTTCACTGCGCTGCAAGTCAAAACATTGATTACACAACAGTCTCGTTTCCTGCTGACTGGGTTCCGTCCTATTGCGCAACTTAGTACAATAACCAGTCCATAATTTGAGACCAATTCATTCAACTGGATACATAAATATTAATCAGTATTATTTGATACATCTAAGCACTTGATACACTACGCTCCTTCTAATCCGTGCTAGCACGTCGTGCAGTGTGCTCTGTTGTACAGCGTGCTCTGACGTACAGCGTGCTCTGACAAACTGAAATCTGGAAATCGTGGAAATCTCAAAACGAGGCTCGGCCGCTAGAAACGTTTGGCGGTCTGGTACGGACTTGATATTATGTCAATGCACATTGTGCATTAAAACACTACACTGAATAAGCGCAAAGAACACATATCAGGTGTAACCAGTGAGCCAGATGACTTGTGAATCATTTTACGACCTCATCAAACAGGGGCAGTCTGTGACGTCTTAGTTAAGGTCATGCTGCCTACACCTCGCCATAAAATATAGAAATACGATATTATTAAAGTTTAAAATTAAATTAACTTTAAAATACCATGTTTCGTATGAAACAAGGAATTGAAATTCAGTGTAACCATAGTTGTTTGTGGTGTCTCTTTTCACTTTCGCACGAGAAAATGCGGATCGGCTGAAAAGTAGGTCATTGTCTGAATAGGTTAATGAGACTCATGTTTCGGTTTGAGGGGGGGTGGGCAGGGTAAGTGTATATGAACAAATAACCCACACGAGGGTATATTGGTGTTTGGACATGCGTTCAAATATGATTCCATTTGACCTGAGTCAAATCTTGTCTTTGAAAAAGATGAAACAGTTGAAAGAAACATTTATGTATTTGAAAAACACATGCATGTTGGCATTGTTGCAGGTTAATGGTAAACAGGTTTGCTCGTCACACAAAAGTCCTTGGTTCGATTCCTTCACTATTTGAAACCAATATATGGTGACTCAAAGCCGCCATATGACAAGAATATTGTAAAAAGAACTCTCGGAAATACAACTAGTCTTCCTCTGAACTGGATCATTCATGGAACTGGGTCATAGTTCTTACATCTGAGCCAGAGTATTTCGGCCACGCTCCACTGCTCCAGTGAACCATAAAGTCTAAGATGTTGTCGTCGTTGAAGTAGCCAGGTGCTGGTGTGCTGTAAAAGTTTTAGAAAAGGTTTTAAAAGTTTCATCATATCTCATAATAACCAATGAATTGAGAAGCGAGGATCGCGTATCTCGATTTGTCCATAGAATTATTTAGAAATTGGTGAAATTGCATGAGGGGTGATCTTTCGGATGATGTAATGTGTTCAATTAGTTACTACTTTTGAGTGAAGGCGAACGCCCCCTTCAGCGTATCATCCAATCAGATAGGGCGCATGGAGCTCACCTGTACGATTCCATATTTGGAAAACGTCTCCGCCATTTTGCAGTCAATGTTTTGCCGTCGAGCATCACCATCTCCCCATCAAACGCCGACACCAGGATGTCCTTTTCTCCATCGTTGTCGACATCAACGATGACGGGTGGGACCATGACGCCTTTAAACTTTCCCCTGAACCAAAATACAGAAATACCAGCCAACTGTTTACAGAATGACGGTTCCTGCTTTAATGATCACAAAACAAGGTCCTGAGAACGAAATCCTTGTCAACAAGTGTGAATCAATATCAGTATCGAGGTCGCTGAATTCTGGGAAACGAACCCAAACCCTCGGCGTGCGGAGCTAATATTTACCGAGCTGAGCTATTCACCAACCAAGTAGTTATTATTGGACAGCTGCAGATATTATTTTGACAGAGCGTGACTTAAATCGCATGTATCCTCTATTTCGGCAAAATATTTGGGAACATGCCAGTTACATACTAGTTTATGACTTAAGTATGTAGCTCATGACTAAAGTGTTAAGTACGGTGGGAGTAAACCGATTATCTAGCGCACGCTGATCAGTTGACTGTACCGTTTTCTCGAAAACACCTGGCTTACCTGTGTAAGTACACGACGACGGGTACTATCATCGCCTAGTTTACCTGCGTAAGTACATGACGACGGGTACTGTCATCACCTAGCTTACCTGCGTAAGTACATGACGACGGGTACTGTCATCACCTAGTTTACCTGCGTAAATACATGACGACGGGTACCTGTCTTGACGACGGGTAACCATCAGCTTACCCGTAAATACATGACGCGTAGGTACATGACGACGGGTACTGTCATCACCTAGCTTACCTGTGTAGGTACATGACGACGGGTACTATCATCACCTAGTTTACCTGCGTAAATACATGACGACGGGTACTGTCATCACCTAGCTTACCTGTGTAGGTATATGACGACGGGTACTGTCATCACCTAGTTTACCTGCGTAAGTACATGACGACGGGTACTGTCATCACCTAGCTTACATGACGACGGGTACCGGTACATGACGACGGGTACCTGTCATATCATCGCCTATCCTTTACATGACGACGGGTACTGTCATCACCTAGCTTACCTGTGTAGGTACATGACGACGGGTACTGTCATCACCTAGCTTACCTGTGTAGGTTCATGACGACGGGTCATCACTGTCATCGTAAATACATGACGACGAATTTACTGTCATCACCTAGCTTACCTGCGTAGGTACACGACGACGGGTACTGTCATCACCCTAGCTTACCTGTGTAGGTACATGACGACGGGTACTGTCATCACCCAGCTTACCCTGACGACGGGCGTCAAGCTTACCTGTGTAAGGTACATGACGACGGGTACTGTCATCACCTAGCTTACCTGTGTAGGTACATGACGACGACCTGCGGAAATTACATACTGTCATCACCTAAGCTTACCTGCGTAGGTACACGACGACGGGTACTGTCATCACCTAGCTTACCTGTGTAGGTACATGACGACGGGTAGTGTCATCACCTAGCTTACCTGCGTAAGTACATGACGACGGGTACTGTCATCACCTAGCTTACCTGTGTAGGTACATGACGACGGGTACTGTCATCACCTAGCTTACCTGAGTAAATACATGGTGACGTCATCCGGATGTTTATGCAGAATCTTCTTCCATCCAAACTCCCCCTTAGATTGTGGCAGGACCTTTTGATCAGTCAGAGTGTAAAGGTCAGGCAATGCGATGGCCAAGAGGTCACCTGAAATATATGTCATATATGTCATGAATCAGGAAGCCCTACTTAATAAGTTGCTATGGACACTGTTATGGAATAATGTCAGGGAATAATGAATTATCCATATATATCAAATAAAATCGAAACAGATCTCATTTATGATATTACTACATTTATAATCAACTCAAATACAACGATAACATTCTTTATCTGACTTCTTGTTAATTCGACATATCTACACGAGTCAAATGAGTTAGCTTACTGTAAAAGCCCAGCTTCCACTCTTGCCCAATTAAGGCTGGAATCATGGAGTTATATCTTTTCGTTGGACTGGATGCAAAGCCCAAATCGTGCAACGAAATCGACAAAGTGTAGCCTAGTTCGGCATGGTGAATACTGGATTTGTAGAGTAAATCATTTTGACACGGGTAAGTAATGTCTAGGCTCCAATTTCAGATAAACAAATGATTGTCCTGTCAAATTTGAGCAGCTGAGCTGGATATCGGCGCTACACAAATGTTAGCATAATAATAATAGTAATAATAAACGGGATCTAACTTCGTACAATGCAACATGAACGTGAAGGTCCGGATTAGAATTGATCTTCAGTAACCCATACTTGTCGTAAGAGGCGACTAACGGGATCGGGTGGTCAGGCTCGCTGACTTGGTTGACACATGTCATCGGTTCCGAATTGCATAGATCGATGCTCATGCTGTTGATCCCTGGATGATCACTGGATTGTCTGGTCCAGACTGGGTTATTTACAAACCGCCGACATATACCTGGAATAGTGCTGAGTGCGGCGTAAAACTTAAGTTACTCACTCACAATGCAACCTCTGTAATATGGACTGTAAATCTTCCGGATTTAACGACTCATTGTTACGAGCAGAGTCAGTGTGTTTGATTGTTTGTTTATTGGGGTACGATGACTTGTGTCAACCGAGACAACGAGCCTGACCACCCGATCCCTTTAGTCACCCATTACGACAAGCATGGTTTGATGAAGATAGGTTCTAGCATGGATCTTCACGGGTTGTTTACACCTTATCAACAACTCGTCTCAGATTCCTAACGTTCTTTCTTAGCTTGTGAATGCATCCTTTAAAATGGAGTCGCTATTTTTAACCAACTAAACAAAACATAACCTGGATATCGGGAGAAGGAAAGCAGTGAACTGTAGCCAATGAGCGCTTAATTACTTGAGACCCTGTAGTTAAAACCATGGTTCTGATTGGTTCAATATCACAAACTTCAAATAAGAAGATGGGGTTATTTGGCTTGGGTTAATAACACATATGCCTGAGAACGTTACACAGTATATGGCTGCATGCAATCACCGGTGCAGAGAGAAACGTATGTTATTCAAGTCCGCGAAGTACTGACCATGGATATGGCTTCATAAATGTTAAAAGCGATATAAGCCTTATTTCGCTTTATATATACTTTTAAATATTTTTTCTTTGTCATATAAATGTTGATATTGTTAACATATGTTTTGAAAAACCCCAAAGTCATCAGCTTTTTGTTTGAGTTTCAACTAACCTGGCACAGTTTCACCACCGCTTCCAAACAGCAGGTACTGGGATCCGTCTCTAGCGGTATATTTGACTGGTGTCATGTACGTTTCCTTACTGTCAGGCAGTTCGAAGTAATTACCAAGGGGAATTCCGGTCGCCCCTGACAAAATAATCAGGCGCCCAGCGGTGCGGTTGTGTACCTGCACATAGTTCATAATAAAGTCAAACAATAAAAAAATACACGGAATATATTCCCAGAATACGTTAGGGTCCTGACACATATGAGAAATGTGTTTACATAAAGACACCCGATACGTTTCCACCATTTCCTAATATTTTCCACAAGACTTCTGTATCAGTACCGGGGGCGGTGGGCTAGCCTAGTGGTTCACTCGTCACGCCGAAGACCCGGGTTTGATTCCCCACATGGGTACAATATGTGAACCCATTTCTGGTGTCCTCCGCCGTGATATTGCTGGAATTGCTAAAAGCGGCGTAAAACCAAACTCACTTACTCACTGTATGAGTGTATCAGTACCGAAACATTGAACATAAGAAATGATGAGGGTAGCTCAGTGGCACAGATATTTTTTCTGAGTTATGTCCCTTTTCTGTGTTATGATCCGATTCCTATGGATTCGAATCTACGATTGGCTCTTTAATGATCCTTTGTTTGTCAGAATTAAGCCCATGTTCGTGGGTTTACACAAACCTAGCAAACGTCTACAATACATTAGGCCCTTTATTGCACGCTTAACAGTCACGTCTCAGGTAAATTGCCATTACATACATTGTACTGCGTCAAGGCAGTGGTGTAGAACAGTGGGTGAAGTGTTCTATCGTAAACCAGAACGCCCATGTTAGGTTCCCCACACATGTATGAAGCCCATGTGTTGTGTCACCAGCAGTATATTGCTGTGGTGCAGTGGTGTAGAACAGTGGGTGAAGTGTCCTATCGTAAACCAGAACGCCCATGTTAGGTTCCCCACACATGTATGAAGCCCATGTGTTGTGTCACCAGCAGTATATTGCTGTGGTGCAGTGGTGTAGAACAGTGGGTGAAGTGTTCTATCGTAAACCAGAACGCCCATGTTAGATCCCCACACATGTATGAAGCCCATGTGTTGTGTCACCAGCAGTATATTGCTGTGGTGCAGTGGTGTAGAACAGTGGGTGAAGTGTTCTATCGTAAACCAGAACGCCCATGTTAGATCCCCACACATGTATGAAGCCCATGTGTTGTGTCACCAGCAGTATATTGCTGTGGTGCAGTGGTGTAGAACAGTGGGTGAAGTGTTCTATCGTAAACCAGAACGCCCATGTTAGATCCCCACACATGTATGAAGCCCATGTGTTGTGTCACCAGCAGTATATTGCTGGTGTGTTGCTAAAACCGGCGGAAAACACATTGTTTACTCACTCCCTCATTTGAAACACAGCTTCACCAATATTTCTAAAAGCGTTCGTAAAATACCTTTAAATAGTCTGATATATATTAATTTTATTAGCCCAAATATACATAACGTACTTGTAACTGTCACTATTTCAACTACTGTATATTCATCCAAAATACTCTGTATGTTTTATAGGGTGTGTTTTTCGAAAATGGCTTCTTTGAGTGAGCTAAGATATAATGCATCTGTTAACTGTTAAGTTGCTCATTTTGGAGGCGAGTCCCGACTGACTGGAAACAGTCATATATTTGTTTTACCAGTATGGTGAAACGATGACTAATCAAAAGTTTAAACTGAGGCAAACCCGAAATTCGGAACCAGGCTGTGAGGATAGTGGCTTCAAAGAAACGCAACTCTGTGCAGCGACACAAACCTACACAGCAATGCAATTACTGGAGAACACAGGGAAGAAACCCCGACTCTGCTGAATATGCATGAGTGGTATAGTCCCATGATATTACAGGGGTGAAAGGTATGGTGATTTTACAACTGTATAAAAAGGACTGAGCCGGTGGTGATTCTGGTGTCTGAGTGACTATCACGAAGTCACGGGCGCGTATAGAGGGTGTCACGTGATCTTATGTCGTGATTTGTTTTGTATATTTCTACTAACCCCACAATTCTCTGTGGACTCAATTAATGCGTGAGTGAGTTGGGTTTTACGCCACTTTTAGCAAATATTCCAGCAATATCATGGCGGGGACACCAGAAATGGGCTTCACACAATGTACCCATGTGGGGAATCGCACCCGGGTCTTCGGCGTGACGAGCGAACGCTTTAACCACTGGGCTACCCCACCGCCCCGGATTCAGTGAGAGCATGTCTGCATTTACAGCGGTTAAATGATACAGTGAATTCCACCCACCCTGTATTCTTGACAGATTCGAAAAGAAACCAGGAATAAACCTCTTTCCACTCACTCACCTCGGGTTCAATGTTGGGATCTCCGCCATGGCTAACAACAATGTCCTCCACTCCATCTGCGTCGACATCCGGTAACAGTACAGGCTGGTAGACGTTCCACGTCTGTGTGAAATAGGCGGGGTGGTCAGCGCCGTCCGAGAACCACAGCGTCTTGCCTAGAACGTTGCAGAGGGAGAGAGCCAGTTTAGTGACACACAATACCAATACCGGTTCGGGGCGGTGGGTTAGCCTAGTGGTCAAAGCGTTAGCTCGTCACCCAAAGACCCGGGTTCTATTCCCCACATGGGTACATTGTGTGAAGCCCATTTCTGGTGTCCCCCTTGGGGACTATGTGTGAAGCCCATTCCTGGTGTCCACCGCCGCGATATTGCTGGAATATTGCTAAAAGCATGTGTTAGCATGTGTTAATATGTGTATTTTGTGTGACCATACCACATGGCAGTGACAGCTGCTCATTCTGTCAGCCACTGGTTTCTTACTGTCTGGATCGGTCCAGCTTGTCTTCAGTGTAAAAGTATGGTACTAAGGGAAACGTAAAAATATGCGAATAAAATGACGAGGGATGGACTGTGAATCTTGACCATTTGAATATTCATTCAGGGCTCGGGTCAGTGAGCAGGTCACCTCAAGGTCGTAAAGTCATAGTTCAAAATGGTAACCATGATCAAATTAAATATATGAATATATGTGTGCATTATATAAGTTTACATAGGAAGAAAAGACACATATTATTCTTGAATTACTTTTGTATAAAATATGAATGAGTTTAGTTTTACGCCACACTCAGCAATATTCCATCTTATGGCAGCGGTTTGTAAATAATCGAGTCTGGAACAGACGATCCAGAGATCAACAGCATGAGCATCGATCTACGCACATGACACGATGACACGTGTCAACCAAGTCAGCGAGCCTGACCACCTGGTCCTGTTAGTCGCCTCTAGCATCAGGCATGGCTTACTGAAGATCAATTCTAACCCAGATCTTCAGGGGTTCATATAAAGATATGATATGCATTTGCTCTATTTAAATAAGTTTCATCCGTGATGAGTTGGGGTTACCACAGGCCCCAAACAACCTATGCCAGTCGACAGGGTGGATCGGGTGGCCAGGATCGGTGTCATGGTTGGAACCTATTGAAAAGCAAAGACTCGTTTGTGGAGCATGTTGTTTACAGGGGTGGTGGGTTAGCCTAGTGGTGAAAGCGTTCGCTCGTCACGCCGAAGACCCGGGTTCGTTTTCCCACATAGGTACAATGTGTAAAGCCCATTTCTGGTGTCCCCCGTCGTGATATTTCTGGAATATTGCAAAAAGCCGCGTAAAACTAAAGTAACTCACTGGTTGTTTGCAGATCGCAGTCTTATAGCTGGAATGATGGGGAGAATGGCGTCAGACAAAACATCTTAAAACTAGTTTCGAAGTCGCTATGTGGCTGTGTACAAGCACCTACCCTTTCTGAGATCCACTGCCTGCACCGTCGACTGTCGGCCGGTAACGATGCAGTCTTTAGCTCCATCAAGGTTGACGTCGATGTCACACATCATAAGCATGACCTCTGACCTGGTAGGGATGCGCCAGAGCTCCTTACCGTCGGTACCTCTCAGGGCAAGAAGAAACCCCACACAAGGGTAGCTTAAGCCTACAAAACAACAGTACAAACTTAGGACTTCACTAGACTTGTACAAGACTCTAAGGTAATAATTAATAGTTTAAATGAAAAATTCAAAAGAAATATGTACATAAGCATGACATATTTTGTTAGTATATTTCAATTTCCAAACAGGTCACCCATACAACCTTGCTGTTCACAGTATTTCTTGAGACTGTTGTTCTCAGTGAGAGAGTTGACCTTCGACAAGTCTGCGCCATGAGCTAGCCCGACCAACACGTCCGGTAGACCGTCACCATCGATGTCCGGGGTTCGAATACACGACTCTGCACCTTGAAAAAGTGAAATTAAAAGTGAAAGTATGACATACATTTCCAGAGCTCCAGATAAGCTATAATACTATAAAATAACATAGCTATATCCAACAGGCTAAATTCAACAGTAAAACAACACCCTGCCCAATACAACGCATGAAAAAGCTTAAGGCTCTCCTTCTCCGTCATTGTTCTTTGGATATGCATCTTGCTATTGGGAGTTGATGTGACCTCTTATACACAGTAAGTTCACCCGTGAAGATCTGGTATAGAAGTGGTCTACTGCAACTCATGCTTTTCTTAAGAGACTAACTAGATTTGGTGATCAGGCTTATAGCCGATGGATGAGAACGAACGGGATTCGGGATTCGAATGCCGAATCTCACTATTTTGTTCGCATTCGGGATTCGAATCCCCAATCTGAAGTTTCTGTTTAGAAACGGATTCGGATTGGGCATTGGGGATTCGAAACCCGAATCTGATTTTTTTTTCATATTTGGGATTCGAATCACGAATCTGAATATTTTCCATATTCGGTATTTTTGCAGATTCGGCATTCGACACTCGGCATTTGGTATTTGAACCCTTATATTTCATCCCCCTTCTGAAGTACTAGGTGCTCGTTGTATACCTGGGTAACTTAAAAACATAAACAACCAAACTACAGTTTTCGACAATTGAACCTCAAGTCTGAGTTTTTTTCTTATACACAGTAAGTTCACCCGTGAAGATCTGGTATAGAGGTGGTCTACTGCAACTCATGCTTTTCTTAAGAGACTAACTAGATTTGGTGATCAGGCTTATAGCCGATGGATGAGAACGTACATTTCTGGAAACATCCCTCAAATACATGCTAGCATTCCCATACCAATAACTTGCCATACTTGACAGTGACTCAGCTGAGGAGGCCCCATAATTATGTGCTTATCAACAACAAAATCTATCGATTTTCCAAGCTATTGAGCAGTAAGAATTTCATATTTGCACACGTATTGCACGTGATGCTCGACTTTGATCGAAGTATGTGCTTGTGCAGTGCGCCCAAAGGGCTTGGATAACCGTACAAACAAACATAGTTGTGACTTGAGTGAGTGAGTATGGTTATACGCCGTTTTTAGCAATATTCCAACAATAACACGTCGGCGGACACCAGAAATTGGTTTCAATCGAACCCAGATCATCAGCGTGACGAGCGGACGCTTTAACCATTAGGCTACCCCACCGCCCCCTAATTGTGACATGAATATGAATGGCTACGAGGGGGTTAAAAACCATAGGCCTTACGTTACGTAACGATGTGCCGAGTTATGTCCTCTTGGCGCGCCTGAAGCCTGTGATCGTGGGTTCGAATCCTGATTAGACCTGATCGTTTCTAGTTTGTCCGTTCTTGTGGCTTTTACGACACCTGTCGGATTTTTATGGCCAAGACACGCATCACTTGCGCTGACGGTTCAATGTGACGGTTCAATGTGACTTAAACCAAACTTACTACATCACTATAGAATGTAGCGGTGGGGTAGCGTAGTGGTTAAAGCGTTTGATCGTGCCTTCGAAGCCCCGGGTTCGTTTCTCGACATGGACACAATGTGTGATGCCAATTCTGGTGTTACTCTCTGCGGTACTGCTGGAATATTGCTAAAACAGCATAATACAAAACCAAATTAATCACTAAATCTTATAATACGCTTAACCTACCTGTACCGTTTAACACAACACGCCATCCCGGTGTTGATTTCCCTGTCGGAAAACCTTTGAATATTTGTTTGGTGTGACCTTTACCGTGAAATAAGGTCAAGGCCACAAACGTCACCATGACAATGGCTCCAATGCTGACGATGACGAGTGCCACCACGCCATACCGGTTGACGCGTCGGCGCTTTACCGGGTTGGAGAGAAACGGGTCCAGTAATAAGGGGCCTTTCGCTTCAGCATCTAGACTGGGGCCCCGGGCGTGAATCCCATCCCCTTCCTCATCACTCGTATCCTGCTGCTGGAGGGGGAAATACTCGACGTCCTTCTTGGCCATTGTGAGCTCTACGGATCACTGAAAATAATTAAACCTGTGTGAATTGAATGGACAGTTGTATCACTGTATTTACTGCTCTTGCAATGCCTTACATAAAGACTCTGGGTTATTGGATCCGAGTTTGATTCCCAGCACATTTCCAGTGTCTCTCGCAATGATATTGCAGCCATTCCTGCAACATGAAGTTAGAAACGGATCCGGGAATCTGAATAATTTTTTCACATTTGGGATTCGAATCCCCAATCTGAATTTTCTGTTTAGGAACGGATGCGGAATTGGCATTGGGGATTCGAAACCCGAATCTGATTTTGTTTGTTCACATTTGGCATTCAAATACCGAATCTGAAAATTTTTCATATTTGGGATTCGGATCACGAATCTGAATATTTTCCATATTCGGTATTTTTGCAGATTCGGCATTCGACACTCGGCATTTGGTATTTGAACCCTTATATTTCATCCCCTTCTGATGTACTAGGTGCTCGTTGTATACCTGGGTAACTTAAAAACATAAACAACCAAACTACAGTTTTCGATAAGTGAACCTCCAGGTTTTTTTTAAAAAATTCGGGTTTGGGATTTGAATCCCGAATGTGAACAAAAAGTTCAATTTGGGATTCGAATCTGAACAAAAAGTTCAGATTCAGGATTCGAATCCACAATCCACAATCCGTTTCTAACTTCATGTTGCAGGAGTAGTATTAAATGCATACACCTTTCAATAGGATATGAGTGCGTTTTGTTTCACGCCATAGTCGGCAGTATGACGACTCATGTAGATCCCAACTACAAATAATCCTTGCCTAGGCTCGGCAAATAACAGAGTTCTCACATGTCTTAAATGAATTCAATGCTTTTGTCTCCGCCATATTTTGTTGAGCAAAGCACGTGAACGCTTGAAAACAAATTAAAAGTACATCAACAATGGACATGTAGAGTTATATAAATTTAATGGAACTTATTTTAAATGTTTAGCGAACATACAAGAATTCCAATTAGTTGTTGGTAATGGAATTTTGAATTTACTTACAGCTTGAATTCGTGGAAGCTGCTTTTGGGTACAACTTGGACTTACTCCCCTCTAACTGCCCCTCCTTTCCCCATTGGTTATGATATCAGTCACTGCACTATCTAGCCCAGGAACGCATTTTCATTCTTGGTATGAAACGGCACACTTACCGAGAAGAGTCGACAGTAACTAAGAAGTTTTTGGTCGCTCCAGGAACATAAACATATCTCTCAATCAGAACACCATTATTGTGAAGAATCATGTACATAATTGACACAGACATTGTTTGATTCTGTTGGGTCATGGGCCATGATAAACATCTTTCGTTTCCTGTATCCCCTGGTGGCAAATTCCAAAATATCAGACATGCTTGCTTGTGACAAACTCATACAGTACATTTGCATGTTTGAATTTGACACCCTCAAGTAGTACATATAAAATATAAAATCGTGGATGACGGTGACCTATGATCTGATTTTCGTGTCCTCGAAACATATTTCTATTCACCAATGTAAAATATGAGGCATGCAGTAAGTGTGTGTGTGTGTGTGTGTGTGTGCGTGCGTGCGTGCGTGCGTGCGTGCGTGCGTGCGTGCGCTACATATTCTTGTGTTTCGTGCATTGTCAAATATTTTGTCCCGGTTTACATAGACATTTGCTCCCGATAATCGTTTGGACCTTTCTAACCACTGAAAAAGGCGCTTTGTCATTTTGCCGACAGATAATCTTGAAGTGGCGTCATAGCTGGGTTGCTATGCCCTGTAACACACGCTCATGTTACCGTATGTTCCTCGTTCAGGTAACTATACTACATACCCCTAGCGAATGTTACGGGGCGACCTTGGAAAGTGAATAGATTCTATGCCGCTTTTAACAATGTTGAGCAATACCACGGGGAATGCTAGACCACAAGTTGTACCAATGCATGTAAGGAATCGAAAACGGCTACCGGCGCGACAGGCGACAGCTGTAACCAGTGTGCTACCTAACCAACCTTCGTTTATTTCCAGTTTATACGTCGTGTAGGTCTTAATGCCTTTCTGAATGTCCACAATCATTGGTTCTACAACTATAATCATACCAAAGGATGCTAAATGATGGCACTTGTAGTTACCTTGCTTTGCGCTCTGACGTAATGGGATCGGTCAGCGCGAAATCTAACTGGGGTATCAGGGGTTGTAATTTGACCAAATATTAATTTCACTTGACCAGTTAACAATTTGGTAGCATATGCATTTTTATTTCAGCATCAAAATACATATATCAAAACATGTCAGTAATTTGGGACTACTTACCACGGTAAATTTTATTGTGGATATTTACTTGACAGACCGGAGAATTCCACTCGACCCGGGCATCGGGCAATGGTATTTTTCAACCCCTGGTACCGTATCCATGGTAACTGCGGCATGATATCTCAATGGACTACGACTACAGAACCGACATTAGTACGGAAACCTACGAGCAAGAACACGCACGCACGCATGAATGTGCATGTACGTCGGTATATGTCACCTATAGGCAGGTGAGTTTGTTCAAAATTTACTCTGTTCACCCAGCAGAAAATGAGTACCCGGTGGGATAAGTCATTTGACTATTACCTTCTAGCGCCTCACGGGCAGCTTGGGTTATCCGGGGTAATAATGAACTGTCTGCGCGGTTATATCCCAAAACTTCCACATCCCAAAACTTCCACATCCCAATACTACCACATATTGTTAAAACAACAAATCTTGGACACTATAGGACACAAGTTCTATATAAATGTTCTACATAGACTGTTATGTAACTAGAAAAGATATGTAGTTTTGTTAATAGCCCTGCCTTAATAAAATATATAATTTATTACTAAGTGATTGTTTGTATTCATTACTGATTTATCGGTTAAACCATTACAGACTGAGCTAATCAGTATGCTAAAGTGTGTGCAGTCAACCAGAAATGTTGTTGTTATAAGCTGTAGAAGTTTTGGGGTGTGGAAGTTTTGGGAGGATACCGTCTGCGCAATGAGCCTGCTGTCGGTGTGGATTTAGCGCAATGTACATGGACTAAGTATTATTGTATAAGTAACATAATACTAAACACGACGTTTAGTCCAAGTAACCCTCTCCTCTAAACGTTGACGCCAAAATGCTTAATCACTCAACACTAAATACACTGACGTACACTCCGAGCTTTTGGGGTTATTAAAAAATCAAAACAAAAAACAATACCCCAAACCAGGAGTGTACTTTCTTTTGTACATCAGTTTAGTTTTTAGCATCTAAAGCCTGAGTCACACCAAGGTAGTTCTTAGTACGTCCTGTCCCGTCCAAACAATAATTCGAACGGGATAGAACGTGTAACTTTTGTAAACATTACGATGCTAGTTCGATCATAAACAGTTCTCAGTAGGTCCATCTCGTCTTTACCCCGTCCCCAGACAATTGGTGTTACGTTTAGACTGGGTACAATTGCCAGCTCACCCCGTGTGGACAACCTTTTCAAGCAGTTCAATCCCGTCCTTAGTCAGTTTATATCCGTTCTGAATAAGACCTATCTAACTGGCACTACCCGCATTCTAGCTCGTTCTTAACTAGACCAACTCGTTTTCAGGCAGTTCTTCCCGTTCGCACTCCGTCCCCAGTGCGTGCAGTCGTCCGATTTCTATAAGTACCCAGCACACTTTTGTCCGTTCTCATTCCCGTTCTCAGTTTCAAGATGGAAACATCGACAGCATCAAGCGTTCAAGAAGTTCACCAAACTTGGGTGAGGTGATTCTCAAGAAATTTTAGATCAACAAGGCGGAGCTCCCACCGCTATTCGACTCTCAGGTTGAAGCCGGTTACTCACCCAACAAATCAAATTCTTGTTCTTTTCCTCCTCTCTTGCTATATTAACACATTGGACTCTTGCTCTGCTTCCAATAAAAATTACAGGCATTCTACATGTTGACAGCCGCAAACCTGTTCATGTTTCACAGGTAGAAATATCTACCCCAAATGGCGAACGTGTTAAAAACGCATGTATTTATACCCTACCTCGTCATATCGTACTGTGCACGGTGTTCTCGCAGTGAGAACTGCATGAGAACTACATAAACGTACTTATACTTAATAGAACGTAATGAGAACCCATTGTGAACTTTTAGGACCTTGTAGAGACGTACAAAGAACTTCTTCAGAACATTTCAGACAGACAGACAGACAGACAGACAGACAGACAGACAGAGTTTATTTCCAGTAAAAGGCCGTAGGCCCAAAATACATTCAAAAGGAAATTCCAGTGTAGTCAGGGGCACAATGCTCATTCAAGTGTGTTTATAATAATCCTTTTAACATAAAATAGATACAAGGCAACAGATTTTACAGTGTCTACATTAGTATTCTTGAAAAGATTTGCTAAAGAATATACGGTATAAGGCTTTTTAACACATTTTGTAATAAACCTCTCTCTTAGTTGTGAATAGGATTCACAAATGAACAGTACATGAAATTCATCTTCAATATAGGTAAGACGTTTAGATTTACATGATGTACAAAATCTTTGATTATAATCAGTGTTGTTATAACGCCCAGTTTCTTCAGCTATTTTAAAATTACTACACCTAAATTGTGCTAAAACATTTCATTTCGTTATGAACATATTTGCACGGAATAACAAACAACTAAAGACGTAATGCGAACGGTATGGACGTGATGGAAACTGTACAAACGTATTGCAACTGATGCCCGACTGCACTACCTCCGAACACGTCCCCAGTATGATTGAAGTACGGCTATTCCGTTCGTTCTACGTCAATCTCGTCTTAAGTACGTTGTCACTCCGTCCCATTTTAGAACGGGTAGAAGGTTGGACATGTTCAACGTTCAGGAGCACCCGTCCGTCCCTAGTCCGACCGAGCCCGTCCATAACGTTCTTAAACAGACCTTAAACAGGTGCTACTACTTCCAGTCCGTTCGCACACAGTTCGAGCCCGATCCGAACATTTTTTGAAGAACGTACTGAGAACGAGTTTGGTGTGATGGGGTATACGATGAAATCTGGAATGATACCCGGAAGGACCATAGCAGTCTCCAGGTGAACGCCTTTTCTATTATGAACGACCGGAAAATGAGAGTTTACGGTAACTAGATCCACCTCGAACGTATTCTATACCTTATCAATGACAAATCCAGGCCTAGGTCAGGTTATGTAAACACGAAATGTCGATAGCAAAACTAAACTTTGGATTCCCAAAACATATTCTTCTAAACCAATATTTTCTTCTTACCAACAATCTCAAATCGAAGTGATCCATTTTCCCAACCTGTTCATATTAACATATGTTCTGTTTAATCGTTAAATTGATAAAATTACAAGGAATGACAAATTATTAGACAGAATTATGTCAATACGATTATACCTAATTTAAAGTTTAAACAAAATACTTACAGTTTTATACAGTGAAACTTGAAAGCCAATTTTCTCCAAATGAACGATATATCTCAACGAGAAGACTCAGTACAACAAACAGACGTCTTCACGTTGTATTGCAGTGGGGTGGGTCGGAAAGCCGTTATAACCAACACAATTTTGCACTTACATGACAAGCTCCGGGTATATAATCTTAACATCAAACACAACGGGTACTGACAGAAGGATATTTGATCATGCGTGAGCCTTTACGTAAATATATGCATGCGAGGGTAGCACTGGGAGTAAATTACTGAAATTTAAGTCTATTATCTAATCAGTGTGTTCAACGGGATTATTTGCAGTTAAAATTAAAAAAACCCACTTCGGTTGATATTGATGACACTAATTAGATTGTGATGGTTGTAACCACTGGGATACAGTTTATTTTGCGAGATAATGGTTGAACAAGTCAATAAAAGCAGCTGTCTCTGCGTATAGGCACATATCTTCAAATCCCTATCTCTTGAAAGGACAGCGGCTGCAAAACTAATCCCTTCTCCTGACTCTTTAAGGTCAAAATAATCTCTTGTCATTTTTCCAAGTGATATTACTGATGATGATGTTGTTATCATCATCATCATCATCATCATCATCATCATCGCTGCCCATGTTGTAGTCAGTCCAAATGGGGAAGAATAAGTTTGTGATCAATATAATCTGTTGTCACGTTTCTAATTGATCATAATGATGGTGATGTGGGTATCATCATCATCACCAACATCATCATCATCAACAACATCAGCATCATCATCATCATCATCATTGCTGCCCGTGTTGTAGTCAATCGAAATGGGGACAAATAGGTCTGTGATCAGTCCTAGTAACTTGACTGTGTAACTTGCGTGTCACGGTGACCCGCTGGCATAGACATGTGCTCATGCTTTCATCCACTTGTTTGCCTAGCTCAGGCTCAATAATGTAAGGCTAAATTGATACATATGATGCATTCCCGTTTGGTGTCAAACAAATGTTCAGGTCGAATGATTGCCACTCAGCATACTTGACATCAATTAATATTTGCAGTATTATGTGTGACTTAAATATAACGACCGATGTTTAAGCCACATAGTGACCTCGCCCTTACAAACATTTTAGTTGTTTCTTTTTTTACATTCCATGCTATCTCTCCTGGCATTTGTATATAAGCAGCGGGAGTTTGGGTTATATATATTTCTGTAAATAGTCATAGTACTATCTCCCGAAACACATTCGTATAGTGCTATTGTAAGTACTAATCGTTTAAACTCGACCACGAGTGCTACTGCAATGGAGATAACTAAACCCACAGCTACTGACGATAGCGACAACAACCACTACCCCTTCTACTACTGCTACATATGACTGCGTTTAAGGTGTACTGGACAGAGTGTCTGCTATGACAGCGGAAGGTTGGGGGTTCGATTCCTGGCCGCACCACACCAAAACTCATTGAAAGGTCATACATGTTATAACCCTGCCTGACGTTCGAAATTAAAAGGAAACCAAATTCCAACTTTGAAAGCGTCGACATATTGGTTGTTTCTTTCCGGCCTGACTGACTGAGTTTGGTTTTACGCCGCTTTTAGCAATATTCCAGCAACATCACGGCGGGGGACACCAGAAATGGGCTTCACACATTGTGCCCATGTGGGGATTCGAAACATGAAAACGACCCGGGTCTTCGGCGTGACGAGCCAACGCTTTAACCATTAGGCTACCCCACCGCCCGTTTCTTTGCGGAATACAAATTTGCCTTGGTATTTGCTAACTGGGCGAAGCGACACCTATCGGGGGATCCAAGAATGACAAGTTGACAATCATTACAAAGAATATGCAATAAAGAGGTACAGCCAAACTGACGTGTAAAGAGTGAAACTATCGCTGAACATTACTATTGTGCACAGTACAAATGTTCACATTATGAGACTTGGACAACAAAATGTGAAACCTGAGAAACATTATCACCAGATATGATGATTTACTTTTTAATTGTATTTTCTATTCTGCTAGGTACGTATAGTAGGTTATGTACGCAGATGTAAAAATTACTGTGTGTATGTTCAGGAAACAAGCAATCAGCTGAATGCACATATTTCACAAATCCACTTGCGATTCGGTTAAAATATACCCAGTAATAAAACTTTAAAGCCAGTGTTCAACACAACAAGCGGTGATGCAAATTCAGCTTACCCAGGTGTGGACTCAAATACATTACCTATTCCCAACCAGGGCCGCGCTGCTCCATACAGACGCCCCTACCAAGCAGTTCAGACTCATAGATCAGGATGAAGTTGAGTGTTTTTCAAGTGTCACGTGTTGTCAAGATAAACAATTCTAGTCATTTCGCGGGATATGTACAACTCCAGGTGACCGTGACCCACAAGACACTAAAAAAGCTTTTAGAGCATAAAACCTGTATATATAATAAATAAAACACCTAAGTATCGTCATTGACACAAACCCAAATCCGCATTCGTATCAGCACACATGCATTCCCATAAACACCAGACTCGATTTATATACAGGCTGAAGCTGTGAAATTGCTGAGGGCGACGTTATGCAATAAAAAAAGAGAGAGAGAGAGAGAGAGAGAGAGAGAGAGAGAGAGAGAGAGAGAGAGAGAAGAGAGAGAGAGAGAGAGAGAGAGAGAGAGAGAGAGAGAGAGAGAGAGAGAGAGAGAGAGAGAGAGAGAGAGAGAGAGAGAGAGAGAGAGTGAGACTAGACTCTCGTACAGATATTTGTGATACATTTCAACACACACATTTTAAGTCCTTTGACCTAAATAAAGCTGGTAAACAACTGGCCCCATTACCCGTGAAGTCAGCGGTGACAAAACGAAGATCGACTGTATTTACAATGAAAATACCTGACAAAAGTCGTACTAGATGTGTGACGAAACAGATATTACCTGAATGTGTGCTTCATAACGCTAGTTGCAGTTGGCAGCCCACCGCCATTCCCCGTTATAACACTGAAGTTGCGATGATTCCCTCTACCCGTTACTTCCGGGTTGGGAGAGTCAACAGCCAGTCAAGTGCATCGTTCTGCACTATTTGTTTGCTTTGACTGGACGTGTTTGTCAACTTGACATCCGGGTGACTATATTTAGAATGTGTCTTTACGCGTTTGTATAAGGTGTGTAAATCATTGTCACGTGACAACTGTTTGATGCACTGTACTGTACGGGAAACGACAATATCCTGGTTAGAATTACTCCTCGGCGACCCATGCTTTTCTTAGGCGCTGACTAATGGGATCGGCTCCATGAATTTGTGACGCGTGTCATCATAACCCAGATCGGTACTCACTGGATTGTCTGACCCAGACACGAATGTTTATGAGACCACCTCCATTGAGTACGGCGTTATATACTCTAAAAAATAGTAGTGGAACTCCATTTTTAATTCACGATTGAAAAAAATTGGGAGATATATCGGAGTCAACCAATGTTGATATGGTTCAGTAATCGCTCTTGAGAGATGATGATTGGTGTATGTCGTGAAATTTTTATGTGTACGATTTTTATTTTGAAAAACCCGGCTAGAAACAATAACAAATGTGTGATGCGAGAAGATTGTCAAAATTAATTGCCTACAGTGATTTAACGACTTTCTTCAAAACCGTTAAAATCATGAATGACACCCATGCACGTGTATGGGGCTACTGCGTTGTGCACGTGCATCCCATGCGTTGTGTTTAGGGGTGGTGATAAAGAGAAATGGTGGTGCGTTCATAAGATGTCTGTCTTTGAAAAGTTTGTTAACGCTTATGCTTCCTATCCAAATTGAAAGATCAGGTTCCCCTACTTTTTTGGAAGAGTATGCAATAAACACATATTCACAAGATTATGAGGATATACTCCACTACTTCTGCATGTGTCCTAAATATAATAACATTTGATACGATTCATATTTCTATGTGAAAGGTTTCTCCCTGCGGGATGTGCTAAATGGTAATAACTCAGTATCTCATCAGATGAATATGGATATTCTACAATCAGTCCATCAAGTCATTATTACATCAAAACGATTTGATTTATAAACATTTTATGGTTTCTGTTATTTTCCTGTTTGTATCACCTGGCCAAGAAACAAAACAAAACTAAATAGTTGATATCCAAGATTGTTATTATTCAGAGATAACTTGTTATAACTATTATAAAAACGCACAACATTACGCATGAATGTGAACTTTCACATGTATTATGGAGCGGCATTAATATAAGACATTTAGGGTGTTTGCCAATCATTTTCTTTCCTATTGAATGGAATAAAATATGTCTAAACCATTAAACTACGAGTCGGGGAAACTCTCTCGTCCGGCTACCAATGTGCACTACCAACCCACACAATAACAGGTTATTAGACGGCCACAGAGTGATTTGTGAATGTATTTTCAACCTATTCTTGCTAATACAAATAATTGCATTTATTCAAAACTAACGATACAAGTTGTTACTGTGAACTTTGATATCTCTGCGGAATTATACAATTTAGTTTCACCGAAGCACTGATGATCAGTTGGAAGTAGAAGTATGAGTGACGTTCAGTAAGAATACTAGCTGACCAGTTGCTCCTAGTTATTTTTGTAATAACCATCATATTGATAAATTTATTTCCTTATGAAATCTTATGGTACTATCATGGGCTATTAAACTTTGGTACAGTAAAACTGTCAAGTTTAATGGAAATTGTATTATATACTCATGCCAATAATGGTTGTCACCCCTCACCCACCCCTTAAACAATAAAGGTATTAACTTATAGTCTGTTTCGGAAAAAGGCTGACAAAGTACAACTTTATAACTTTATCCCTATTTTTTTTATTTCAGCAATCCGACATGTTTTGTATATTATGTCTCCAATAAAACAAATTGACGGGTCGTGACAACCATTATGGGCATGAGTATATCTCGTTTAGTTATACACTTTTGTATTATATTCATATATGTCTTTAACTGCAGTTACCTATTTTGTATTGTAGTCTCCCGGAACTCTTTGTATTTATCAATATATATATATATATTGAAAGAGTCTCCGTTACAGTATATAAAGTAGTAGTATCTCTATATCACTGTTGTATGATCTCCGTTATGAGAATACAAATAAGCGTCTCCGTTAAGTGTAAGGAGAGTAGTATCTCCGTTACTGTGTTATCTCCGTTACTGTGTAAGTAGTAAGCGTCTCCGTTACTGTGAGGAGGAGTATCTCCGATATTGGGTGGGAGAGGGTATCTCCTGTACTGTGTGGAGAGTAGTATCTCCGTTATTGTGTAAGGAGAGAGTAGTATCTCCGTTACTGTTTAAGGAGAGTAGTATCTCCGTTAGTGTAGGAGGAGGGTAAGCTCCTGTACTGTGTAAGTAGACAAAGCGTCTCCGTTACTGTGTAAGGAGATGGGTATCTCCGTTACTGTGTAAGGAGAGTAGTATCTCCGTTACTGTGTAAGGAGACAAGGGTCTCCGTTACTGTGTAAGGAGAGGAGTATCTCCGTTACTGTGTAAGGAGACAAGGGTCTCCGTTACTGTGTAAGGAGAGTAGTATCTCCGTTACTGTGTAAGGAGCATATCGCCGTTATTGTGTAATAATGAGACAAAGGGTCTCCGTTACTGTGTAAGGAGAGTAGTATCTCCCTTACTGTGTAAGGAGACAAGGGTCTCCGTTACTGTGTAAGGAGAGTAGTATCTCCGTTACTGTGTAAGGAGAGGAGTATCTCCGTTACTGTGTAAGGAGACAAGGGTCTCCGTTACTGTGTAAGGAGAGGAGTATCTCCCTTACTGTGTAAGGAGAGGAGTATCTCCGTTACTGCGTAATGAGACAAAGAGCCTCCGTTACTGTGTAAGGAGAGGGTATCTCCGTTATTGTGTGTAAGACAAGGGCCTCCGTTACTGTGTAAGGAGAGGAGTATCTCCGTTACTGTGTAAGGAGAGGAGTATCTCCGTTACTGTGTAAGGAGACAAGGGTCTCCGTTACTGTGTAAGGAGAGGAGTATCTCCGTTACTGTGTAAGGAGACAAGGGTCTCCGTTACTGTGCAAGGAGAGGAGTATCTCCGTTACTGTGTAAGGAGAGTAGTATCTCCGTTACTGTGTAAGGAGAGGAGTATCTCCGTTACTGTGTAAGGAGACAAGGGTGACCGTTACCGTGTAAGGAGAGGACTATGTACGAGACAACGTGAGATGTAGTATTGAAACGCGAGTGTTGGGGAATCAGCTCGCTTGGCAAGAAGTTGACAATACCACCCCACACACAACACAACACCTGAGTAAATAAAGTTAACGAAGAGTTTATGACACAGCCACTGAATCATATTTTACATACTCAGTGAATAATAGAATGGATTATAATTAATTATTACAACATGTTCACAATGCAGTTAGCTTCCAAAGTACATAAACATCACATGTAGATTCGTTACACATTGATCACAACGTCAGGGTCATTGACACACTCTACTAGACACATCACCACAGTCGGCGATCATACATTCTGTAATAGTCACAAAACAGCATAGTGTCAATCAAGTATTAAAATAAACAATCCGTAACACTAATACGGAATATATGAGAAATATATTAGAGGATGCCACGTTCAACATCAACCTGAGTGAGTGAATATGGTTTTACGGCGCTTTTAGCAATATTCCAGCAACATCACGACGGGGACACCAGAAATGGACTTCACACATTACAGCTAAAAGCGAAATTGGAAGATATTCATTAAAAGTAAACATTTATGTAAAGATAATTAGATATTGGTCTAGATTACTAAATCAGCATCATAATTCAATACTTAAGCATTTATACAGCTATCAATTTAAATTAGCAGAAAAGGGTATAGAATGCTGGGCTCTTAAGGTAAAACATGTGTTATATCAATTGGGAGATAAACGTACTGTGTTTGGAAATTAGATGAATGACGTTTATCTCCATTCTACCATAACCGATTTAACATCGAACTTCCTCGTCCGCGGAAGACACTACGTAATCCGGCATGGAACGAGAGGTGATTTAAACTCGTCTGTGAAGGGAGTGGTAGGTTCCGTTCGTATTTTTTAACATTGCAACATAAAAATATTCTGACCAAAGAAAACAAACTACTGTTTATTCAATGCAACAATGTAAGACCTAAAGCTTGGTTTTATAATCATAACTCCACACGACCTAAACCAGCCTATTGTTTTGTGTGCCGTGTTACTGTACCCCTAGCCACACTATAACGGAATCGTCTGACCTACTTATTTTCTTGGAAGTAGACAGTTACGCAACAGTTTGAAATGGCGGACGAGCCAGTGTTTACATTTTGCGAAAGGTTGAAATTCGAAGCGATAGTGGAAAATACTTGACTGACTGTCGAACCTGAACCCTGCAGAATCGAAGAATAGATCCTTTTTCTGATCGACCTATGACCTGTAACTCATCAAAGACTGTTGACTTTTATGGCCGGCGTTTGTCGATCATGATTTCACGTACGATGCCTCTACCCCAGCATGCGACGAAAGAGTGACAGTGCTTCTTTGTGTACACGAGACATGTGGATTCCTTGGGACATTGTTCTCATTTGGGACTGGATTGTGGCCAAGATTTCAAAGTGTACGAAGGTGGCAGAGAGCGGAATTCTCATGGTTCAATTTTTGACATTTTGAACGATGCAACGGGACATGATGGAGTATGAGTGGCAAAGTTTGTGTTTCGCCTGATAGTCTAGAAGCGACACACCCAAAATGATGAAAATGTGGTGCAGTTCTGGCGACCAAAACGGGATGTGATTTTCACTACCGTGCGTGATTACCGTGCAGGGGGCCCTTTTAAGGTGCAACATGTCATGTCAGTTATGGCAATATTTTAACCGACAACTGGATGGTTTAATTTAATAATTCTGGTTTGGATTGACCGATTTTCATCAAAATAGTAGTTTTGGAATGCTCAGATGATGATTTAAAACTGTGGACATTCATATTACATATATGCTCATCCCAAAACATTTTTGTAAGGTCAAAGGTCAATATTAATAGTAAGGGCATTTGATGAGAACATATGAGTTGAACTTTACAAATTAAAGGTAATTGTTTCC